AAAGCTGACAAAAGATATAAAGTTCTGGCCTCAACAAGAAACTATTTCGTGATGTCGATAGTCTCATGCAGCTTGCCCGCCCTGCTGTGACAAGCAGGAGGACTCACCAATAATTACTGATAGCTGATTGTCAGTTGAGCAGCCTTCACACGTCCAAAAAGCAAAGAGAAATCTTTCCATGCTGCAAATCATATGTGCGTCGGGAGGCAACCTGTCTTCTGTCTCTACGCCCTTGGTATAGGTATACACGACACCAACTTACGTAGCTGGCACGCTATAGAGGAGGCACAGACTCGGAGATTCTGACGCGGTCCACTTAGATCTTGCAGATATGAGTGGCGTGCATGTTATTGAAGTTAATGGGGTATTGGACTTTTGCCGCATTCCGGACTGCTCCAGAAGGACGAGAGCAGTATGAATGGAACGGATGTTGATTGAACAAGATTAGACCCGGATTAAACTTGTGGTGAAACAAGTTGATAGATATTAGTGGACTTTCAAGACATCTAGAAGATGACGGTCACTGGAGTTAAATCTGAGACCTCTGGGTGTGAAAAAGAGACGTCGGGTCTGAGGCAAGCTCCTCATCCAGATTATAAACAACAAGTTAATAGAACCATATAAGCTGTTCTTACAATAAGTAGCGGTATGAGATGTTGGTAGAAAGCCAGCCACGAAATTAAAGAAACATTATTTAAAGGTTCTCCCGGGTAGCCTCAGTCACGAATAAAGACATGGTCCGCCAAACACGTAACATAGTGGGCAACTATAAGCTGCCAGTTTGCGCAAACGAGACCTTGCAAGAAGTTTCCATGCCAAAGTTCGCCAAAGAGCGAGTTTTGTCAGACTTGGGTCTGCTTAATCCCGTCAGCAAGCGGAGACGTCATAAAAAAAGCCATCACCGCCCGTAAACAACCATCGTGATCGATTCAACGACAATTACCTTGCGCCAAACTCTCAAGAATTAAACTCTAGGACTATGATCACAAGATGCCCAGAAAAGTCAACAGTTGCCCAAACCAAAGGTTTAAATCCTCTCTATACGGCAATTGCCTCCTCGATTTGGCCTCGTATTCCCCGCCGCTGACCCGATTTCTGGGGACGACTGGAATGCGGGAACGCCATTGATGAGAGACAGTGAGAACGTGGCTAGAGGGTTTGGCGCCGTCCCCAGATCATGTCTGAGGCGCAGGCACGCTAGTCAAGAAATCAGGAACGCGCTTCTACTGGAATGCTGATCAGTGTGTAAAGCGACGGCGTCTTAATTGAGTTACATAAATGAATTTTGAGGAGTAGTTTGGGATGAAGTGCATTATTTACAACTGGCGAGGGACTAGATTGGTGGTGGACTTCTTTAGGGCGTGTTGCCATCAGCATGCAAGGCACGAATTTCAATTAATCGTTCACGTTTTTCACCGTAGAATAATGGTACAGACGAAGATGGACTTTGTGTCAACTGCCGTGTCGCTTCGGTGTTACCTGGGCGTCATGATCACGAAGGCTATACGAGATGCATCTTGGAAAAGAGTTATCGTTCAAGGAAAATCCCATTGACTGGAATACGTAGGGGACACTCCGAGCCTCGTATCGCCAGACTCCAAGCTGCAAGGCTCTCAAGTGAACTTGCCAGACAAAATCTCGGGGCATAGCTCAATACCCTAAATCTCCAGCCTCAAGTCAATGACACTTGAGGCCCGACAGGATAGAGTGCTGGAGGCTTGCTTACCCGATGTGACACAACACTTTGTCCCATCCCATCCGGTGAATCCGCACTCTGGTGGCTTTTCTCAGCTACCCGATGTTGTAAGACTTGGGTCAGCATGCAGAAGGACGGTGAAAAATACATCTACTAAAGGCATGCTGTGCTGTAATGCATCGGATGTCGGGGGGTATAATGACGGCATGGATATAATTCTGTTGGAGGAGTAGTTCAAATGGGCTTACGTTAGGGCAACTCAGTCATTGGACAATGCCGTGAGATGCTTACTGCACGTGGGTCGTGTCGATTTCAGGCAATATGTTGAGAGAGTCTGACTGCAGATCAGGCGTTTTCTTAGAGTATGGACTTGTGTGATTACTCTGGTAGGTATCATGAATGACGGCGGGTAAACAGTTGCACGAGGTATCAGCCAGTTAATGATCCGATAGTGCCGTGATAAAAACAGAACGTCATGTGAAAAAAGCAACACTGAGCTGAAAAGTAAATTACCATACATGACAGTGATAGGCATGACATTGCAGCAAACAAGGCTCGCTCGGGCCAAGAGAAACATGCATCATCCTTTGAGCTCTACATGGATTAGCCGTTCAGCCAGAAATCAGCCGCAAAAAAACAACTCACAGTGGCCGTCATCAGCTGACCTCTATAGCCAAGGATTCTCCAGTTGTGGCATAACAACTATTGTCTGCAGGCGTTAAATAAAGTTACCAAAGCATTGACAAAATCTCGTCAAGCAAGAATTTACAGGGGAAAAAGGAGACAAGTAATCGGGAGAGGGGGGGCCAGGCCAGCCTCTCGTGTTCTGTTCTGGGAGGGAACCAATTGAAAGTGATAGCGCCCTGGATCGTCACAACGGGCGGATAGTTTTTCCCAGGTTCGATCAGCCATTCCCCGCAAATAAGCGGCGGAACACTCTATTCCTTGTGCCGTGATAAATTTATTCATGGGCTTTTGTTCTCTCCTGATGCTAGCTAGAGCTGCAGGTGAGATTTGGGCCAGCCAAGCTTCGCTGTAGCGATTGAAAATGCTACGTAAACCAGGATTTTGTTTCTTCCCCGCAGCTGGCCTGACCTGAAACGTCACTATTATTCAATTGAAATCTGCTCACTCAACCTTGGCATATCTTATTGTGAGTGTAATCGAGGGCAATCATCGCCGTCATGGTGAACACAGACTACCAAAGTTAAAAATACCGGAGAAAAAAAAACAGATCGCAACGGTTCTAACCGAGAGAGTACTAGTCAAGGAGTTATGCACGTTGGCAAGAATAGAATTTCCCGTGTCTGCAAAGGAGACGGCCAATGAGATACGCGGTTCGCGGTCTGGAAATCATGATCATCAGTGAGCTAAAATCAGGCCAAGACTGTCCCCGCGATCGAGCTTATGGCTCTAAGATTTGGGACAACAGGGGTCCCCTGTCTAGGACTTAACTGTAATTCGCGTGAGTTGGCGGGCCACGGCCACTATTGAAGCGACACGATGTTTTTGCATCGGATCCTCGGGCGGGGTTGATGAAGCGAGACAAGTGCTCTGATCAAGGTCTAAGAAGTAGAAACAGGAACAGATCGACAGAGCATAGCAAACATCCCTTGCATATCGGCCATATCCAGTTATTTCCATCATCTTCTCCTTTTCCCTCTAAAGACAAGGTCCCCTCACCCTCCATCGGTTGTCGGAGACGGAACAGTCGGTCGATATCCCAAATCTTCCCCCTCTTTTGGTGGACCACCAGCCAATACCAATACCAAGAAAAATGTGGCTGCATGCTCTTCTCTGACTGGTGCCAACCCCTCGCAGCAATGACATGTTTCTCTGTGGCTGCAGCTCTCGCTATATTTACCAACAGCTGCTATTCTGTTTCACCCGTGCGTGGCTGCTCTGTCTACCAATCAATTCACTCCTCGTATGCTGAAATGCCCCCTTTTGTCCCAAGCCCTCGTATTGAACAAGATCGGGTCTTTACGCTTGGCGAGCTTGGGTCTGATTGATGATATTTCGGATCTATGTACCTCCGCGCGCATACGCTGGGACAACTCAGCTCCGTTGGCAAAAGAATACGGGAAGAAGCTAAAGTCCTAGGTCGCGGCTCCGGGACATCCAGGCCCTAGACAGGGATCCATGCTTGTCTCACCCAACCCCACCTCTTGATCGCGTTTGTTTCCCTTTTTCCCCTGGTGAGTTGTCCGTGTGTGAGACCCAGAATAATGCCCTCAACCTGCATTAGCCAGCCTTACGGCGCTCACCTCTTTTAGCCTTGGTGCCTGCGCGGGGAATGGCCCCAACTTGAGCCTCTCCTCCAACGAGATGTTGCAGCTTCAACACCATCTGCAACTGCAAGACCTCGTATTCCTCAATCGGTGTGTGATGCCTTCCACCTGCAGCCAGCGCATCTGCCCCGGGCGTGAAAAAAAAACGCCTTGTTGGCGTCACAGCTGTCATGACTAAATCGTTACACTCACTTGTATATGCTGTGCTACTATCTATGGGAACACCAGACCTGACCTTGCGGCCCATTCGGCTCGTCGCTCTCCGTTTTGTGATGGATTCGGCCGACCGTCGAATTACGGAGATTTATCCAGCATGTCACTGGAGCCTGGTCCACTGTTCCAAGACACGCAGACGGGACAGAATTAGAAATCACGGCACAAATCGCTAAATCTGGATCAATCACGGCACAAACCACTAGCCTGGATTGAGTTGTCGCTATCAAATCTTGTCCGGTCTAGAGCCGGCTCTGCCTTCACGTTGCAAAAAGTAAGCATAATGTTGGGCCTGCTCTATGTCCCGTGCTGCCATGGTTTGTCCTCAGCCCAACCTTCTCGTGCCCCTGTCCTGCTGTGTCTGCCTTCCCTGTTCCTCGGGCGTGGTATATGCAACCCCCCTGGGCCCGACAGCTGGCATCCACAGTTGAGGCTGGCTCTAGCATGCATGTCACACTGCGAGAGGAGGATTCCGGTCTAAGAGAGAATTTAGCTTTGGAACTATTGCCTTGGAGCATCATGCTTCCCAAAGTAGCATGAGCTGACTTCCTATCTGGATTCTAGGATCATCTTGACCAACGATGGGCACCTAAGTATCAAGATCTCGTATTCCCTCTGCAGTCAGACATCTCCTACTTAAACCTCATGATATCCTCACCAAATCCATTTCTATCTCTTCACTCTCAAGTCAAGAAAGGCACCGGTCTCTCAACTCGACTGACCTCCTCCTTCACTCGCTCCCCTTCTTTCGTTTTTACCCCAAATCACTTTCGTTGCTGAAAGGCCTGCAGTTGCCTATCATGCATATCAAGTACCTCCTCATCAATCTTTTCGCCCTGACCGTCTCGGTCAAGGCTCTCCCCAATGCCGACAACGACTTCGGTCTTGAGGCTCGGGATGACTCTGACGCTCTTGTCCAGCGCTGGGACTGTGGCCATGATGCCAAGGAAGTCTACGGCAAGTGTGTCTGCAACGACAAGCAGCTCACCTGGGACGGCAAGAAGTGTGTCTGCCCTAAGGATACCACCTGGGAGTATGGTAAATGCGTGCCTAACAAGCCCACTTGCCCCAAGCCTCAGGTTTACAACCCTCACTCCAAGAAGTGCGAGTGTCCCTCCGGTACTGAGTGGAAGTACGGAAAGTGCATCAAGGACTGCCCTAAGGGACAGTACTACAACCAGCACAAGGACAAGTGCGAATGCAACAAGGGCACTGAGTGGAAGTATGGCCAGTGCGTGCCCGTCTGCCCCAAGGGACAGGAGTACAACAAGTGGTCTCACAAGTGCGAATGCCCCAAGGGAACCTCTTGGAAGTACGGAAAGTGTATCAAGGACTGCCCTAAGGGTCAGAGCTACAACCCTCACTCCAACCAGTGTGAGTGCCCTAAGGCAACTGAGTGGAAGTACGGCAAGTGTATTCCCAAGTGCTCCAACGGTCAGTACTTCGACAAGGACCAGTGGAAGTGCGTCTGCCCCAAGGGAAAGATCTTTGAGTACGGCAAGTGTGTTCCTGAGTGTCCCAAGGGCCAGACCTACAACAAGCACACCAAGAAGTGCGAGTGTCCCTCCGGCAAGGTTCTGAAGTACGGAAAGTGTGTCTGCCCCGACAACCAGGTTGAGAAGTACGGCAAGTGTGTCTGCAAGGACGGCTTCAAGTTCGAGTACGGCAAGTGTATTCCCCAGTGCCCTCAAGGCCAGACATACGAGCACGGAAAATGTGTCTGCCCCGCCGGCAAGGTCTACAACAAGTGGCACAAGAAGTGTGAGTGCCCCGAGGACAAGGTCGAGGCCTACGGCAAATGTGTCTGCCCCAAGGGACAGATCGAGCAGTACGGCAAGTGCTCGTGCCCCAAGGGCCAGTACTACGACCGCTGGAGCAAGTCTTGCAAGTGCCCCAAGGACCTGAGCTGGGACGGACACAAGTGCGCCTACGACTGCGGCAAGGACGCCGAGTACAAGTACGGCGGCTGCGTCTGCAAGAAGCACGACCAGGTCTTTGACAAGAAGTCCAAGACTTGCAGCTGCAAGCAGGGCTGGTACTGGGACCAGCACAAGGGTGTCTGCAAGAAGGGCGGCTACTAAAAGGTGTTGAATCGGGGGAGAGATTGAGGGGGATAGCTGCTTGGTGGAGGACAGCCTGGAAGAGGCTCTGATGATCTTATGAGATTGCCTTTGGCTTTGGCTTGGACATAGCACGTTTGCTTCGCTGGACATCTTCTTTACACTCCTTATATACTTTACTTCATAGTGGATAATACTTAAATCAAGGACATTGCGGATCACCTCTTTTGCCTTTGCTTCAGTGACTTTACTCTTTCACCATGATCGACTTGAAGTTTGGTCACTCAGCCAATGGAATTACTGCTCAGCTAAAACCATGCGCACTTGGGGTTTAGTCTCGTAAAAGCTGACCCCTGGTTGTTAACCCATCGCACGACACAAGCATTCGTGTCTGTATATCATTAATTCGTCTGTTTTTTTTTTGCTACTCTTGAAAGCCCTTGCTTATAGATATACGACGAAAGAAAGCCCGTAAAATTTGGTACTGTTGGTTCTGCCTCGCCATGTAATCATGCATGAAGTTACAAAAGAAATGTACCTATGCGGTTGCCTCATTCTGCCTGACGGGCTGAAACTCACAAGCATCGGAAGCGGGGCTAGCAATTCTGTTTCTTTTTTCAATCTCACATCTACGCATGAAGCTCAAATCTTTCGAGTATAAACACGTCTTTTGCCTCTTTGCTACATTACATCCGCTATCTCTTGTCGCCGGTTGTTTCTGTATACATTGGACTTTCAACATGTCCGATCCGCTTTCTGTGGCGGGGAGCGCGGTCGGCATCATTTCGCTCGGCATACAGGTCTGCCAAGGCCTGATTTCTTACCTTCAATCTTTCAAAAGTCAAGATCAAGATATTCAAGACAGCCTCAAGGACGTTCAAACTGTCGTCTCAATTCTATACTCCCTGAAGGGCATCTTACCCAAGGTTGACGAAAGTTCTTCTGGAACACCAGCTATTCGTCGATGCTTGGCCGAAAGTGAAGAAAAGCTTCGTGAATTCCAGCAATTCTCACTCAAGCTCCGTGGTACACAAAGTCAAGAGCACAATGTGCTGGAAAAGATGGGTCATGCCAGTCGCGCGTTATTGTATCCGTTTCGCGAAGGGAAACTGAAGTCACTTTCCCAGTCATTGAAGGGATTGCTCCAAAACCTGAGTCTCTGTTTGGATATTACGACACTGTATTTGCCCAACCCTTCTCTTACTAAAGTATTATGCTAAACAAACGGTTAGGGACATCGCAGTCGGAATCCATACTAACGTGGATGACCTTGGAAGTGCCTTCAAACATCACGGTGCAAATGTGGCCAAGCTATCTGACCAACTTCAAGTTCTTGATAACAGCATGGCAGTTTACTATCAGGACTTGAAGAATGAAGTATCTCAAGCACAGCTACTAGCGCAAGAATTTCGACAAGAGATTGGTGGACAGCTAAGGCTGATCAGCACTGACGTAGGCTCTCTTATGTCCAGCAATCGACGCCACCAAGAGGATATAAACCAATGTCTTATGAAAGCTTTCGATGAGCTAAAAGACCAGAACAACTTTCAGAATGAATTGATACGAACAGCGCTGGTCAGCCATATCGCAGATGTCTTTTATGACAACGCTAACAGAATTCTGCTGAAGGGTATGGATAGAATGTCTATTCAGAACGCCGGGTTGGGACAGACTACCGCTCTTGAAAGAATGAGAGATTCAAAGCAGTTCGCAAGTAATCCACCTGGCTGTACCTGCGAGCGGCAGCATGAGCTTTCAAAACTTTCCTATCGGTTCGGATATGCTACGTTCGAGTATGAGCAGCATAGCCTTGATCGACATGCACGTAGCTGCAGATATTTCGGGATCGACCAGCCGACAAAGATGGTCGCCAGGGCACAGCTTCCATTCAAGCTTTGGTCTCTATCTTCAAGACTATTTCTCACAAGTATCGAATATTCCCTCGGGACAGCAACACCTGGAATGTCTATTCGATACAAAAGCATTGTCCCAATTGGTCAAAGTCCAGTTTATGATGTGTTGAGAAAGCTTTTTAATCATATAGGAGGATCATCAACACGCATCATAGCAAGCGAGATCCAATTAATGTTTGCAGAAGCGGAGCGTGCGGTACTATCTCTCTATAGAGATAGGGAGTCCTCCCCGTACGATCAAGATGAGGATGGAAATAGTCACGCTCTGGTCAGTCGTATGGAACTCTTGTAATCGGCGGCCTAATCTGACCATTCTACAGCTAGCCTTGGAGACAACACTCGACGCAATCAGCACCCTTTTAGAAAAAAGGATCACTCAATGGACTCTTGAATCACTCTTAGTATCGGCGAAGAGACTGATCGAAACACTCGTTAATACTGCTGGCGATGAAAACGGAAAAATGTAAGCGAAGAGTCCTCAGGTCTATAAGAAACAAAAAGCTGATTTCCTCATCATACGATAGACCGTCTAACCTTTTCCGAATGCTTCTGAAAGATGAATGTAGAGGTCTGGCTCGGTATTGTCTAACAATATTCAATATAAGTTTGCCGGTCGTTGTATTTTTCGTGTGCTTTCAAGAGCGGCATCGGCCCAGGGACCTATGGCTTTTATTAAATGACAGTAAGCACAGTGAGTTCTACGTTTAAACAACTGAGGCTTTTCTCTAAGTAACGATTCCATTATAGTATTCGAACTTAACCCAATTATGCAGGCAATGTTTCAACAATCTATCAGCATGCTTGAAATAGCTCTCTCCAAGTTCCCAGAGGCGGTAAGAGAGAGAACATACGGCATGACAATTGTTGAAGTTTGTGTATATTGGCCGGAGGGTCTAAGAAAGCTTCTACGCACCAAAGCTGTTGAAGTTCTCGATGAAAGAGCTCTTCACTTTGCTGTTGGGACGGATTGTATCGAATCCGTGGATCTGCTATTGAAAGCCGGATGCCCAGTTAACTATGGAAACACAACAGAAATGATCTTTCAAGGAGCTTCTGAGCGATGCATGGATCTCATTGCTTCGAGCCTAGCTAGAAGAAGATCAGATTTGCTTTCTCTAGTCCTACAGCAGCAGGCTATTTGCCAAGATCTGGTGCTTACCTCTCAAATCCCAGACGATCAAGCAAGCTACCTTTGTTCATGCCTTGACAACTCAGGCATCAGAATTCCCTTGGCACTCAGAGTTCCATCTTCGTATTCAACGATCTACCATTTCCGCGGTACTTCAGTTTACCATTATCCTATTCTTTTCAAACATGGTTTTACCCATTTATCGGCACACAATATCTTTGGACTCTTACCGGTTATGACGCTCGATTCTTTCTATCAGCCTCGTTGGATATACTCGCATTATGAGAAGTGTTTAGAGGGTATGGATTGGCTAGAGAGCAAAGGAATAATGGACCAGTCACCAACAGACCCCTTGGATCTCGGGCTTAATATCCAGGCTTCCGGTTGGCATTATCTGTCGACATATTGCGTCGGCTGCGAATCGTCTCCCAAACTAAGAGACTTTTATCATGAAAAGACAAAGGACATTCTTGGGGTTCCGGTACTTGACAACTGCCGATGCTGGTGTATCCCCTCGGACATGGGATGCACGCCACTGACGACAGCTTTGAAGTCATGCGTCAAGAGATTCAATGGATCAGTACAGATTGTCCTATGCAATTTCTTTCATACAGCCATTCGAGACACCAGGTCAAGTGGCTCACGCATAGCAGGCTGGTGCATTGAAGTTATTCGATTTTTGACTTTCGAGGCTCTAGAAATGACCCACACTTGTTGTGACGTAAGTTTCAGAGCAGAAAGAGTGGTTATGATGCTGTTTGCTGACCCTAAGTACAGTTTAATATTCTCTATAAGCCAGATATATTATCCGAGAAGTTTGATGTGCTCATGAATTGCGACCAAGAAAGGTGGCAGAAGATCAGAAGCGATAAGCGAGAACAAGAGAACGCCGCCCTCTTAGAAACTTTGATGGAAGAGTTCATAGCATACATGATCGGCATGGAATCATCTCCGAGGTCTCTTGAGACATTCGTCAGTGGTTATTGGCGGCAGCGCATCTCGGAAATCTATGCTGTTGACGCCGACGAGATCGAAGACATAAACAGTGTCTTGGTCGGCACCAAGACCTGTAAGTGCAGCTGATCTAGTCTTTTGATTCCAACATCAATAGTTGCTAACTTCCTGGGAAGATGTTCTACCAGACAGAGTCAGAGCTTTGCTTGGATGGGACTTCAAACTCATTGAACTGCAAGATCTGAAGTCAAAGCCGACGCCAGTTGGCGAAACAGCTTACGACGAGCAGGTACATTTAGGTGACAAATTTTTCGAGTTGCTTCCTTGCAAGTGGTGTCGTTAGATCGAGAAATAGAAGTTAATCAACACATTATTCAAGGGAGACATTCTATTAATATATTCATTCAATAACAAAGAGAGAGATCGGAGATTACGTGCTTGAACTGTAGTAACTGGTAATACTCTACTAAGTTCTATAATAGTGGCAAGGGTGAGTATTGTTTCGCATATAAAGGGCGTTAATATAAACAATTTGAAAGCTCCAAGCAATCCCGCTGTGTATGGAATGAGTACAGGCCAACTCACCCTGATTAAGTGATTTGGATGTTATGAGCCACCTAGAGGTTGACTAGAAAATCCTAACAAGAACAAAGGTATTTCAATGGAATTGATGAGAAGCCTCAGAACCTATTATTTCTTACGAAGGAAAACAGAATGAATGCACCCAAGGTCAAGTGTCCGAAATGAGGGTGTATGAACTAATTATCATTATGTCTTGTTGCCTGTTGGGCCCTCTATGTGAAAGTCCTTCTGATCTACCAGTATCTGCTTGCACCGACGTAAATTTAATCTTTTGAATCTGGCGGTCAATACCCCAAGCAGAAAAGCTCTGATATTCATAGCGGCTTATCGTCAAAACCATACCAATTGTGGTCTCAACTTAATAGACAATACAACGAAAGATGGTCTTGAGAATCGAAAACCGGTCCACACTCTTCTAAGAGCAGTGGACGACGCCATCACTGTGAGTGTGGCACTCCTTGGGAGCCTCCTTGGTGGCACTGGGCTTAGCAGACTCCGCCTTGGTAGGAGTCTCTTTCTCCTCAGCCTCACCAGTGCATCCCTGACCAGGAGCAGCAATGTCGTAGGCGTAAACATCAATGGCGAAGTACTGAAGAGCATCACTGTCGATGACGCTCTTGGAAGGGTCTGTCTTGGCGAGCTCGACAGCTTCAGCGTAGTCCTCGGCGAAGTGGTCCACGATGCCCTCGCTGATGGTGGGGACGTGGAGGACGCGGTGGAGGAGATCAGTGGCCCAGAAGGTGTTGAGCTTGGATTTGGCGACGGTGTAGCCGAGACCGCAGACGGAGTCGAGGCTGCGGCGGATCTCGAAGGAGAGAGGGCAGATGACGGTCTCGGTGGTGGCGTTGCTACCTCGCCAGTGGCCAGCCCATTCTACATTTGTTAGTCACATACCAATATTTAGGCTATGACTTTAACTTACTATCCTGGGTAGCGCAGTTCTTGTCGGGGTCATCGCAACGGAACAGCATACCCGCCTTGTTGGCGTTGATGACACGATCATACCAACCAATAGGCGTAGCAGTAGATCCATTACCAAAGTACTTCTGCTTAAACTCAGACTCATTTCCCCATCGGAGGAGATGATCCTTTGCGTGCTGAGCTAGCTGAACGGTCTCATCCAGAGCATTGACCAACTGGCAGCGGAGTGTCGCGTTGCAGGACTGGTGGATGGGATAGTCCTTGGCCCAGCCCTCAGACCAGTCGTACACGCTGTTGGTGGCAGTGGTCTGGGGGGCAGACTTTGTCTGGCTGTTCTCTGCGCGGCCGAAGATGGGAGTGGCGGTGGCGGCTCCGAGGAGGAGGGCTACGGCGGTGGTCTTGAACATCATCTTGACGGTTGATTGAGGATCGAGAGGAGTAGCTCTGGGATTGGATTGGCGGATGAGGCTGAGAGGCTGAGGAAACAAGTGTTATGCAGAAGGTGGTGGATGGTATTTATACAGCTCTTCTAAGGTCCATAGTCTAGAATCCAGGTTCCCAGATTCTGGTAAGAGCTAGCCATTCACTGCTGAAAATCCTTCAGACCCTTGTCTTACCATCTCTCGTGGGGGCTCATACAAGGTTTGACGGTTGAACCGGTCGATGCATTAGCAAACAGAGCCCGTCAAGAGATTTTCCAGTGGCGTCATATCCAAACAGCCAGCAAATCAGAACCCAACAGTATTGGGTAAGGTTACTGCTAGCCTCGGTGTTCTCTGTCATGGCATGTCTATCAGGGTTCTTGTTCCCACTGCGCGGTAACTATCAAGGTATCTTGGCACTCACAGGCTGTGGATCGGGACCCAACGCTTGTTCTCAATTAAGGTAAATAATATGCTTAACCCGCCGCTGCAACCTTGTTGGTCAGCTATGCTTAACTAAATCTCTGCGCTCTTGTCCCCCACGGAATGTTCGATGATTTGTCTAATGGCGCGTGATCGGTGAGATGCATGGTGAGGCATTTTACAGGAGCTCCGGCTAGTTCCCCGATGAGTTCCTGTATGGCTTGATGTCATTTGCGATGTTATACGCTGCTGCGAGTCTGTTGACAGTTTTGCACCAGCTGGTTGCCTGGGACCATCATCGGCGTCCTGGTTAGGGGGCCCACTATTGGCCAAACCTTGAGGCTTCCAGATCTCCAAAAAGGTCCTCATCAAGGCTAGACTCGGCGTTGAGACGAAAGACTAGATGAAAAGCTGAACGGATTGGGATAAACGAGCCTCATTTTAGTCAATGCCTACATCTCTAGGTGAATACGAAATGCTTTGCCGACAGCCATACGTGAGGGCTGTAAATCTGGGAAACCGAGCGCATGGCAATTGGCTAGTAGCCAAGTAAACGTGAGGCAATGATCCACGGAGGTTCTCGTAAAACTTTTGCTATTTAATTCTTATGTCAGAGATCTCCAATTGAAGAACCATTCGTGGCCTGGTTGGTCTTGCGCACAGAGTTGGCTAGATCTCTCGTAGCTTGAGTCAGCCAAGTCGTTGGCCCCATCATTCTTGCAAAGTCAAACTCAATACACATCTTTCACGATATCCTTATGTACACCGACTAAAACTACCCTCTTTCTCTACGTAAAGATGAACGACTGAAACTGAATGGCATTCCAACTTTACACTTCGCTATGCCTTCTCCAGATCACTAGGCCTCGCCCATAACCCCTCCGGCTCAGCACCCTTCGCAACCCTCAACAACTTCCTCTTCTCCCTCTGCTCATTATACGTATCCAACCACTCCTTCGAATGCCCAACCAGTGGTTCAATCTCATCACTAACAAGACTAGAATTCGCCCAGTCCAGTAAATCCCTCACATACTCAATCTCCTCGCCATCTCCCGCCAAACTATGAAACTTCCTCCCACGTCCCTTACTAGCAACACGCTGGTCGTATTCCTGTCGCAGAGATTGGATATCTGGTAGGGACGACTTTCCAGTAAGTACGCGAGCGAGAACCTGTGCTTGGAAGTCGAACAGAGAAAAGGTTGCGGTGTAATATGGTACGCCGATGAATGAGAGGGTTGGATCTTCGGTGTAAAATATGTCTTTATGGAGGTTGTGCACCATATTTCCCTCAGAGGTTATGAGAACATCTCGGGTTGCGTTGTCGGCGGATATATCATCGCGATGATACTGTGCCAGGAAGGGATATGATGTTAGATAGCCGGTTGCCAAAACAACAGCATCAACCTCGTTAAGAACGTTTCCATCACTCAAAACAACTCGGCTCTTCACTCCCCCAGTTTCAACATTCTTTTCCAGCACAAACTTCTCAATCTCTCCAACATGCTCAACGCTCCCAGGAAACATCGAAGGCGGCAGATCAAAATCTCCGCCTCTAGTGCTCTGAATAACCCTCTTCGCTGTCTCACTTGTCTCACGGCAAACATCATACGCCGACGCACCCCCACCAACGACTAACACCGTCTTTCCTTCAAACTGCTCCGGACGACGATACTGTTTCGTGTGGATAACATTATCGCCAAAGTGAGTTTTCCATTCAGCAAGACCAGGTGTATCTGGAATGCGAGGCAGGTTATAATGACCCGTTGCTACCACTACAGCATCAAATTTCCAATTGCGCTCGATAATTCTAGGCTCGCCGTGTCCCTTGAGGAGAGTTATCGTTCGGATATCCCAGTGTGTTTCATCGTCGCTCTTCTTGACGTCTTCAACACGCGTATGAAAGACAGTGGCATCGTCGACGCCGAATTGCTTGCTAAGACCCTGGAGATAATTCTGGATAGTCTCGTGACCGGTGATATCCTCTGTTCCTTTTGGCCATGGACCAAGATTGCTGTAGAGAAGACTCGTAGGGACGTTGTTCCGAAGACCGAAATAAGCGGGCCCGGGAGGAGAGAATGCGACGTCGAGATCGTCCCTGTCTTTAGTCTCGAGGGGATGAGAAATGTTTCCATCTTTGGTTTTGGAGGCGGTTTGGCTTGCTGAGAATTGCCCTGGGACTGAAGTCACATAGTCGCCGGCAGAGGGTTTCTCGCTGGGGTAGTCCGTAGTCGCTGCTCTGGGGTCGTAGTGCCATACTCCGGATGTGACGCCGGAGCGCTCGAATACAGTGACGTCGGCGCCTTCTTTCAGGAGGTATGCTGCTGCGCAGATTCCGCTGACGCCAGCGCCAATTACGGCGACTTTGATGTCGGGGCTGAACTTGGTGGGCTCTTCGGGGGAAGGCGATCGATCACCGTTGAGGAAAGGACTCATTGTTACAGTATCTCTGAGACTACTACTACATAAATGAGGAGTATCTGAATTATCGATAATTTGGGAAAATCAAGTCAGTCGTTTGTGGACTGAGCCCTGAATATAAAACCACTCAGCACCACTTCATCAATACGGTTTGATCCGGAACATCCATTAAGTGTTACGACTATCAAGATATCTTGTCCGTTTTTGATCTCTTATCTCCGTTTCTTCAGTATAGCTCATACTGTCTCCCTATTGTGTGCGTTTCCCGGCCGTTGACAGGTCGATAAGACCCCAGTATGGAACCGTTGAGCACGCCATATCACGAATTATGTCACAAAGGGTATAGCCCAACACTGTAACGTTTGACGTCAATCACGAAGTTTATTGTGCAATAAGCTACTATAGATAGCTGAGTAATTCTCGATTGATTGATACGTCCTCGTGACCATGTGGAGGTTTCAGGCTAGGAGCTCTATATCCTTTATGTTAGCCCTTATAAGTAGAGCCCTGCAGCCACTGAGCCTCAGGCCCTTTCACATCTTGGCGGGTGCATCATTAGAACGCCTTAGAAATGATGGTAAAGTAGGCGAATTATCGGCGGTTCCGATATTTCCAATAGTCACGGGCCTCATAATGCCGGCAAATAAATAAGAAGGGATGATTGGTTGGCATACGGCTTACTAGCTGAAGTGTGTTCAGCTGCGTACTTTACTACAGTATCACCGGCCAACACGTCAGCCCCAGCTCTAAATACCGCAATCTTTGGTTTAGCTCTTCAATGTTGAATGATATAGGGCATGCGTCTGATCATCTAGTTCTGGATATTTATATCGGCAACGCTAAGCCCCATTGTCTTTATCGGCCAAGTTTCTCATCCGACTTTGCAGAGAAACCAGCATCAGTATGCCTTTTCCGTAGGAAGCCTACTAGTCATCATCAAATTGCCAGACCTGCTATGACTTGGACCCCAAGCATATCCCTCAGGCATCTTCTGTCATCAAACCCGGCCGCCCACCAGGGTACTTCTCCATGCGACAGGTTCGTTTGAAGAATGTTCTCAAGCTAGGAAAGCACGTCTGGCTTAATTATCCTGGAGCAGCGGAAGCGCAGGATGATTGTCTGGTTTGTTGCCTGATCATCAATGCACTCTGGGACCTCCACGACTGTGATGAGATGTTTGATGATCCAGGTACACTGGTCTATATATATGGCTCCGTGGATGGTTCCATGCCCCTCCGTCTGCGGTTCATGCATGAAAAATTGGAAACTGGAGCGTTCTGGATGCAGATTCCCAACACCCGCGATAGAAGGGCGAGGCTGGGCCTCCCGGACTTTGGACTGGAGACTTACACACTTCAAGGTACGCATATAACGGAACAGTCACAGTTCAGGCCAAATATGACTAAAGCAAGATGCGCCATGTAGACAACCCAGACAAAACTTTCCCTGCGATCGGTGCATCTCTGCACGTCAGCGAAGACTTTCGGTCTGTGAACTGCATGGCTATAGTAGAGAGTTGGATGAGAGAATGCGTCCAGAACCATTCATTGTGCCAGCCTGATGGCGAGGAGCCTCTCCCCAAGAGAGTGGTAGATGTTGGACCCCAGGATGCCTCCAGAGCCCCAGCTCTTTACGTGAGCCAAGGCGAGATCGAACCGTACGCCGCATTGAGCCATTGCTGGGGCAAGAGTAACCTGCTCAGAACCACGACAGCTACCCTAGCATCCAGAACTCAAGGCATCAAATGGTCAGAGCTATCCACCACGTTCCAAGAAGCTATCCTTGTCACTAGAGACCTGGGCCTTCGCTATCTTTGGATCGACTCGCTCTGCATTGTACAGGATGACGCAGCTGACTGGCAAAGAGCAAGCCATGAGAATGGGAGATATCTATGCCTCAGCTCGCGTCACTATTTCAGCTACTGGCTCGTCCGACGGATCGGGTGGCTTGTTGAGAACACTGGGAACATGGAGCTCTGGGGAGTTTCAGCCTGGATTGGGGACAAATATTTTGCACGAGTTGAACTCGAGAAGGAGGCATTTACCAAAGGCACCGTGGAAGCTCGTGACGGCTCGCTTGGATATCCATTGCTCACCAGAGCATGGTGTTTTCAGGAACGTATACTCTCAGCACGAGTGCTACACTATACACCTGGTGGCATCTTCTACGAGTGTAGGACAGGCTCTCGGTGTGAAACCCGTCTCGGCTCTGAACCAAGTTTGAAGGATGTGTATGCACATGAATTACAAAAGTCCAAGACGGGGGTACTTGAGGATCGATTGCGTGCGTGGGGAACTATGCTGGAGGACTACACCACCAAAATGTTTACCTTCCAGATAGACACCCTCCCAGTCTTGTCCTCGGTGGCGCGACAATTTGCAGGAGAGGGAATGGGCCGATATCTGGCTGGTTTGTGGGAAGAGGGGCTTATTTCCAGCCTGCTTTGGGAGTCCAGACTTGATGCAGACCCGGATTTCGGCGCCTCCAGGGGCAATGCCATTGACCTCTCCAGGCCCGGTTACTTTATTGCCCCGACCTTCTCTTGGGCTTCTCGTGTCGGTCCCGTCAAGACTCTCAACCAAATGAACACAAATTGGATACCGCGCGCTTCCATCTTGGACGCAGAATGCAAGCCTTGCGGAACCGACCCATACGGCCTGGTTTCTGGGGGACATGTCAAGATCCGTGGTCGCCTCTTAGAAGCCTCGTTTCACTCCAATTCGGAAAGCCCTGATCCTAGGTGTCACATTGTGATTCCTGGGTTGCCCATGCTCGATATCACTGTGGACAGTGAGCAGGACGCACAACTTGAAGTAGGTGCAAAGGTGTACTGTCTCCAGTTAGTCGAGTTTCCTGAGCGACAATTTGGCAATTGGTTTGATGCTGTTGAAAACGCTTTCTCCACGCTCCATGTTTCGGAGCGCGGCGGTCCAGCAGAGCGCGAATGGCGCGCAGATGTTGGAGGTCACGACCACGTCGAAATACAGTATCGTGGTCGGTGGGCTCCCGGATATCGTTCTCCTATCCGTCGCCGGAGTAGTTCCATGTTAAGGCATAGATACAAGGCCGACATCGAAGCGGGACTACTACCACCTGCGGCGTTTTGATCTTACGGCAGGCTGCTGATGGTACTTTCAATCGCATAGCTGCCAGCTCGAGTTTCCCTACCACCATATTTAAAGCCGCGTCAACGGCCATCATTACTATAGGACAATCTCTAAGACTGTCTAGTTATGCACCAAGTCCAGACTATAGGTTGCTTACTATAATTCTGACCTTCTATCAAGGTCTAAGTTTACATAAGCTAATCATTAAAAACAGAAGATCTATTAACTTACCATATAATTATCCATAAGTTGGGGTAAGAAGTCAAGTTACCAATAGTACGCAACATCCAATATCTGACCCAAACTAATCAACGGCAACAATACACAATTCTTAGCATAGGTCTCATCTCTACACATAATTAAAAAATTTACCCTGTAAAGTCCTTCTTATCGATATCAGAACATTTGTAGACAGAGCTTCTCATCGCTCTGAATTGCGATAAGGCTCAAGCTTAGTTAATTGACGGACTTATATCGTGCCTTGAGAATGACGTGCAAAGGTGTTATGCATCCCAGCCCACGCTCACCAGTCTCAAGGACTAACTCAAAACACAATGCACTACAAGTCCAGGTCTCGTCTATCAAGCCATAGCGGAGGCTCACGGCGAGTAGTCACTGGAGCCCATGCCTTTTAATAACTTGGTGGGAGCATTATTGGCACGTCTTAGATGTAATTTTAGATATTGCCTACTTGTGCCATTTTGACGTCATCATGGAGTTTTACTTGCAATCGTAGCCTAGGATTACATAAAAAAGATAACTTGTGGCTGAGAGCTTGAATCAGCAGAGAGAACTTAGTAGTCAAAAGTACAGACATTAAGGCAAACCCGCTATGGATGGTTTTTAGAATCTGCTCCATTTGGTCTTACGGTATCTTCAATAGCTTATTTTCCCGCAATTTCAGAAACCGAATACGTTTAACCTCTACAGCATTTTCAACAGTCAAATGTCCTACTCCACTATGATCGATCACTACGCCGTAAAGATTCGCGGAGCCGAGTCTTAATCAATCATCACAAGCGCACGTAATGTCTCTAACGAAGGAACAGCTTTTCCGCCTCAAATACTCTCTAGACCCTACAATCTACGATCCCTACTTTCCATAACCAATTATCGCTCCATATTTACAACACCGGATCTAGTAGTTGTTACATGAATCCCTGTCTAGTACTGAACGTCAGCTTACCTAAATTTTCTACTCCACCTATAGGATTCAATATCAGCTAATATACATCGCTAACTCCAATCCTTCGTATATCGCATGCCCAATGCCAATCACGATGCTCTTGTACAACCTAAATGAGACAAGGCTTGATTTTCAGTTGACGATCTAACCTCAAATTCGGACCTCGGCAAAAACTCTAGCTGTTTCCACGTCCCCCTCATTTATCATGAAGATCGCCCTCATGAATCCGGGGAAAGCCAATTCCTCCTCTTCTCATCCAAAATGACTTCCAAATCTTCTACAGTCGGCCCAAAGGCCTTGGTTCTCTCAGCACTCACCATAGGCCTAGGTGTTTTCCTCGCCCGACCCGTTAGTCGCGTCACGACCGTTCTCGGCTTCTTCCGTACTCCGTCGTCTACCACTGTCTCCGATGCAGATTTCATAACCATTGATGACACGGTTGTGTGTGAGGACGTGCATCTTCACTCTGGGCTGCTCTACACCGCGTGTGAAGACTCGTACGCTCCGCGGTTCTCGTGGTTTCCTGGTCTGGGCGTTCTGCACGATCCCCTCACGGCTAGCAAGTCGCGTGGGTCTATCCACGTCATAGACCCCAAGACGTTCAAGTCGAAAAGACTAGACTTTGAGGGGTTCGAGGGACCGTTTATTACGCATGGTATTGATGTTATTGCTGATCCTAAGGATAAGGATGGAGTTTATATTTTTGCTGTGAACCATGTTCCAAATCCCGAGTATCTTCAGCATGTTGTTGATGGGAAAAAGGAAGACTTTGCCGGAAATAAGGCTGCTTCTCAGGTTGAGATCTTCCATCATCGCATTGGATCTTCTTCAGTCAAGTATGTCCGATCAATCAGCCATCCTTTGATCCAGACTCCAAACGACATTGTTGCTCTGTCCCCGACAAGCTTTTATGTCACAAACGATCATCATTATCGCGAGGGTCTTATGCGACAGGTCGAAGATATGTACTATGGCGCAAAATGGTCAAACACAATCTATGTTGAAATCACCAATACCGCCTCTAAGGACTCAACAGCAGGGTTCAAAGCCTCCGTCGCTCTGACAGGCCTACATAACAACAACGGTCTCGGCCACGGAAGAACTCCCAACGAAATCGCCATTGGTAGCGCAGCCAGCGGAGACATCCACATATCCACCGTCAAACCTAACCATACCATCCAAGTCTTAGAAACCATCCCATTCGACACGGCCGTCGACAACCCCTTCTACTACAGCGATCCATTCGCTAGCGGAGACAATGATAGCAGCGGTTATGTTTCGGCTGGTCTTTCAAAGGCCTGCGAGCTTGCAAATAGTATTGGCATTGACACTGCCACTGAACCAGTAATGGTATGGCTTGCTCAGCGAAAGAATGGGAAGTGGGAGAACAAGCTCTTGTTTGAAGATGACGGAAAGAGAGTGAGATCTGCGGCTACAGCGGTGTTGATTGGAATTGACCCAAAGCTTGAGGGGGGTAAGAAGAAAGGTTGGTTGTTTGTCACTGGATTTTATTCACAGCATATTGTTGCTGTCAAGGTCGATCTATGATGGGGTACATGTTGTGGTGACAATGTAAGATGGCCTGGTAAAAAAAGACCTCTTATAAATCAAACGCTTTCTGAAGTAGGTATTTGATTTAAAGACGGACAATCGTCGCGGGTTACGGAAACTTGTCAAAGGCCGGCATATATACACAAACGTCATCCAAAGTCACATTACGTACGTCATCCATAATCCAGTAGAAGATAAATGAAACCAAACCTCCAAGATCGAACGTAAACTAATTCAATTAATATTAGTTCCTATTTTGTAAAGTTTCAATCAGAATGTCCACAGCTGAAATCATCTCCATCTCCACTGCCTTGATGGCATCAGGTGGTATCGCAACCCTGACATTCTTCGACGTCCCCGAGCTTCAATCCCAACCTGCCTCTCGCTCTCTACCCTCTATCCGATGGCTGTTTAGTCGCGGGTCACACGTCTTCCCATCCGCCTCACTTCTCTCAACTATCGGGTTTATATACTCTGCATCTTCCAGCAACTTGACAGGCTTTGGATCCCTCTTCGCTATCTCAACCAACACTCCCAAGACCAACACATTCTTGACCGCTGCGGCTCTAGCTTTTAGCATCGCGCCGTTTACTCAACTCATGATTCCGACGAACTTTCCTCTCATTGAGGAGAACAATAGACTTGGTGGAGCTAGAAGTGAGAAGGCGGCTGAGCAAGACTCGTCGTTGGATAGAAGTGCTTGGGAATCTGTCAAAGGAACTGGTGAAGGTTTCGAGTTTACAGATCTGAGTGGTCCCCAGGAACAGACTGAAAGGGAGTCCACCGCAGAGGAAGATGAGAAGGTTCGTAGTTTGTTGGAGAGGTTTCGATGGTTGAATCTCGTGAGAGGTGTTCTTATTGGGGCTGGAGGAGTCGTTGGTCTCTATGCTGCGATCAACTGACGACAGGCAGGCCTTATTGATCACTAGCTAACTCAATTTGCCTCGGTTTTTCTCCGTTTGTAGAGTATTCTGTGCTATCTTATGTGCACGGTTGAGTCGTGAAAAGATTATGATATCAAGATGAAGCTTCTCGAACTACCAAGACCTCGTTACCTGGCGTCAAATTAAATGAAAAATGTAAAGTTACACCGCAAGAGTCATCCCCAGAATATGCAGCCCAACTACCAACCCAAACTCAACCCGCAAGTGCTTTCATGTCACCCGATTCTTACTCCCCCCAACCGGAACCTATCACTTAGGCAGGACAGCCCTTCCAGAAGCTCGAGCCGCCTCAAGAGCACCATGCAGACCATACTGAGAGTAAACACCGTTGATGCGCTGTGTCGAGTTGAGGTTCTTGACAACCACTATCTGGAAACAAGTAGCTGAACCTTGACGGGACCCGATGGTTGAATAAGCCAGGAAAATTTCCCAGACCTGCTCAAGTCAGTTATTTCGTCATAAGTTGAGTAGCTGGAGATACGTACTCGGAACCATCGAACGCCATATTTGGCTTTCACCTTTTCTGCATTTCCAAGCCAGTTTCTGTACCATCGCCAGAGAGTACCGGAATAATGAACGCCAACGGTATCAACACTGAACCAAGTTAGTAAATACCTTCAAGAATGTCAATAGCTTACCTCTTGACCTCAAATCCGGCGCTTTCAAGACATCCAACGTAAAAGGACAACGGCGTCGATGCATCAGCGCCAGGAAATATGTACTTGTTCAGAAACAAGCCCCAAATGAAATCCTCATACTGCCATGCCTTTCGAAATCCCGACATCTGCACATACATGGCCCCATCATCCTCCAGCAGCTCATAACACTGCCGGAAGAACCCCGTAAGCCGCCTCACGCCAACATGCTCTGCCATCTCAAGCTGCGTGATCTTGTCAAACTTTTGCTCCGGAATATCGCGATAATCACAGCACAATAGCCGACTCTGCTCCTCGCCAACACCTGCTTTTCTCAACCCATCATTTCCCCACTCGACCTGATTCCTTGCCAGAGTCACGCCCGTGACGTGCGCGCCGTAGTTCAGGCTCGCGAATTTGGCCAAGGTGCCCCAGCCGCAGCCAATGTCAAGAACTCGGTCACCGGGTTTGATGTTGATTTTCTGGCAGACGATGGCTAGTTTATTATCTTGCATTTCTTCAAGCGTTTCCTCACGATCGGGGTCTGAAATGATACCAGTGGTGTAGATCATTCGTGGGCCGAGAAACCAAGCATAATGGTCATTTCCGCTATCGTAATTGGTGCGAACTTGCTCTTCGTCCTGCGAGCGCAAGTGAAGAACGACATCGGGGAAGAAAGTGAATAAAATATAATTAAATGTCTCGCTGGTGAAATTAAACGTCGCCCAATCATGGCGATACTCAAGTATCTCAAGTGCGTCGGCGTTGAGATCGACTTGGCCCGTGAAATAAAGCTCAAAGAATTTACTCATGGGGACTTTATGGCGGCCTGTATATCGCGCGCGGAGCTGGTCCGTTTTGAAGGTGAGGTAGAACTCGATCGGTCGGCCAGGAAGATGGACTTTATCGTTCATTCGCGGACTCAATTTGGACATGAAGGTCCAAATGACGACCAGCACAGGGACTGTGGTGAAGATGGCGAGAAAAAGTGCGAGTTTGAAACCGCCGCCGAGTTTCCATGATAGCCATTGGGGAACGCCGTAGAGAGCGACGCCGAGGAAGATGTTGGACCATTGTTCGTATCCAGGGCCGTCGGCGGGAAGCGGAGCGTTTTTGATGGCGGGAGACTATTCGCAGCAATTAGCAGATATGACATGATGGGCACAAATGCGACGACTTGCATTGGTCAAAGGAACGCCCGGATTCTTGCCGGTAGAGAGTACGTCAGCGGGCGCTTTGGGTGTTGCGATAAAGTCAATGTCGCTACTCAAATGAGCGCCTCCATTCTGCTTCAGCGCCATGGTCACAGACTCATTCGCCCGTATGAGATGAAGGGAAGAATGAATGAAAGGATAAACACGAGATTAAGCGGTCGAAGCAACCCTTTTAATCACACGGCATGCTGGGCTGGGCTGATACATCAAACCACCTCGAAAATGATGTGAGGCCCCGCTGCATCCGGGCCTCAGGACGTGCATCGCGTTGCATCCCTGCCCAAAAAGCGATAGGAGAAGAGAAGGCCAGAATGTAACCGAGATGAAGAGGGATATCATGAAATTGGGACGCGTAATTGGATGCCTCTGCATCCTGCAGTGTATTCTGGTGCCTATCAGAGTTATTCTGTAGCCTAATTTATTGGCATCTGGGCATGCCACGCTGCGCTGCGCTGCAATTATCCCTGGTGTGACGTCGGCGGGCGGAGGATCTCCCCGGGCCCGAGACTGCAATTTGCACGTGCTTTTCTGCTGCTTTTGGTGATAGGCTGTGCCATTTTGGCCAAGAGGGGGTTGTTCCATGGGGAAACGTGAACGCCAAACAAGCAGACCTAGGAGACAACGGTTTCAGGGAGAGATGGAGTCTGGCTGCCACGCGGGAGATCGGCGCCAGGCACCGTGATTCTGACGCGCTGCGCTAAACTCTAACTATCTCGAAACTTTGGTGTCGAGAAGGTATCTAGTAGAAAATGTATAATATCACCAAATGACATTTGAGAAGCAAAAGAAATAGCCTTTGACAAACTAAACTGACCAACCCTTTGTTTACACGGCAAGCATTGCATGGTTCATGGGTTCTGACACGATTGGTATTGTCGCCGTCGATCATACTACTGACGCACCAACAGCGGACGCCGCCTCAATATATCATATCACGGAACAAAATGCCGGTTTCATTATTCGAAGATTAGAGAGCTCATACTGCTTTGAGACATTTGAACTCTCTCCTACCAACAGAGCAGTTATGACGACAAGAGGCCGCCTTATTTGCGAGTTCTCCGCCACCACGACAGAAGTCTCCACCAAAGACTTCAACGATTCCTCATTCCAAGAGGTCTTAACCAAGACTCTCGTCAAAATGAGTCATCGGGCCGTCGCAGAGATGCAGCCCAAGGTCAAGAAAGCACAACAGATGCACAATGAGGAGCGCGACACAACAGGTCCCCGTATCGTCACTGAGCTACTGACGAGTTTTCTGCGAGGTGCTGGGACACCTACTGAGATCAAGGCGGTTCAGAAGAGGATGCGTGAAGAAGTCTCGTGGAATAACAGTAGTCATCCTTGGACGAGATCTCCGCTTTGGCTTCTTCTTCGTGTCGGTCTTCAGCTCACCACACCATGGTGCGTCATCCACAAGCATCACATGGGCTTTACAGGCGCTTTATGGTGTTCTTGATGGTTCAGGCTCTTCAGATTGCCTGCGAAAAGTCGTCGTCTAGTGAGGTGATTCATTTGATGATGCCTAAGATCTCAAGACAGCTTTGCAAGCTGGGTCGTTTGATGAAGATGGGATTACAATACATGAACATGCTCGACCGACAGAGGTGAAATTCGGTTTGCAGATTCTGAAGTACTTAAGTCAGCCAGACGTGGTGGTTACACTGACCTGTTTGAGTTGTTACTACCGTGGTCTCGGCTGATGACGCTTTGTTTGCGGTGTTTGAGTTACTGAGCAGATCGGACAATGCCACTCCGGAGTACCAGGAGTGTGTCAAGATTGCACCATCGCTACCACAAGCCTTCAGGAACTTGGAAGGAGTCAACCTGAGAGACCGGGTGCAGTGCACAACTGAGATCTTCCCTCACATACGATATTCTAAAACGGCGGTTGATTACTACCTGTGTCCTCTGGTCTTCGCAAAGGAGTTCAAGGAATTCATTCACAAGCTGTCAGCATCTGGTTAGGACCTTGGTAAGAGGAAGAATAATCCAACAACGGGATTCAGTGGAACCAACGACTCGCGATATGTTCTGCCACTTGGCGTGAAGCAGCTTGACCTTCCTGAACAGAAGCACACAAACGCTCTTGTTCTAGAGTACCTACTCCAGTCAGAGAATGGAATCTCATTGATGCCGCAAGAAGCAAAGGGTACCACTTTCGACAGCAGTCTTCTATTGCAGATGTTGTCCAACATGAGCTCTAGTACTCCTATTATTATCGGCGTTAGTACCCAAACCGTCGACCTTACTAACCAGGAATTTGCTATGCAATGGCTAGCTTGCTATCAAGATCATAGTTCCACCCAAGTTGTGTTGTTCTTCAACGACAACGACGGTATTGTCATTATCCACCGTTCTGGCAAGATAGAAGACTTCCAGACATCACCGTTCTCCCAGCAGCTGGATCTATATCTTGTTTTCCTGGACAAGATACATACCCGCGGAACGGATCTGAAGCTTTCTGCCAACTATCGTGCTGTGGTCACTCTTGGTGCTGGTCTGACAAAAGATAGGCTGGTTCAAGCTTGTACGCGGATGCGCAAGTTGGGCAAGGGACAGACAGTAGAGTTCTGCATTCCTTTGGAGATTGAGCACAAGTTCCTTCAGCTTAAGGGTGAAGGCAGAGAAGAGATCTCTGTCTCTGCTGTCCTTTGCTGGGCGATCACTGAGACATGCCTTGACCTGAAAAGGGATATGCCACTGTGGCTTACGCAAGGTTTTAGGTTCTCCAAGCAACAAGACATCTGGTCCCGCCTCTCTGACAATGGCACAAAACCAGATGACTTTCTCGAGGAGGAAGGGCAGAGCTTGAGGGAGAGATACCGCCCCCAGAAAGGTTTGACAGACCTTTCTTCACTCACACAAGGGCTGAACGACTCCATCGCAAAACTCTTCAAGTCCCAATGTGAAGACTTTAGTCTGGAGAGACTGCGCACTTGCTCTCTGCAAGAGGAGCAAGAACGAGAACTGGCGCCAGAGACACAGCACAAGCGCCAAGTCTAAAAGGTCCCTGCACTGAAGCCTGATGCTCATAGTGTCAATAGGTTTCTGCAGGAGTGGATAACAGACGGCTCGTTCCAGAGTCATCCACCGCTTTCCGGACTGTCATGAAACCTGCGTTTCGGAGTCTGAACAAGACTTCGGCAGCTGTCCACTTCGACGTCAAGGGGTTTCCTGAGACAGTATGGGTGAGTATGGACTTTGCGCATACTGTCAAAGGTATGTTTAGTGGGAAGAGCTACTCGGACTCTTATCAATGGCCTTCACAGTGGGTGTTGAGTGGGAAGAACGAGGAGGGTGCCTCTCGAATGGTGATTATAAGTCCATTTGAGGTGCAGTACTTTCTCCCACTTATAAAAGAGTTAGAGCATGTTACCCTCCACCTTTATGCGCCGAGGGTCAACCTTGGTAGTCGGAGTGGATGTCATTTTACGAAGGGCCCTGCAACATTTCTGAAGGAGCTTTCGGAAAAGGTCAGGCAGGACTGTGGCACTATTGACAAGACGGATATGGGAAGGGTTATTGAAGGGGTACGCTTGGTTGAGGGTGATTTCAATAGTCGGCATGGATTGTAGTTTGTGATTATGACATGCAGTCTATAGACCTGACTCCAATGTAGTCGCAGTATAAATAAAAGGAGAAGACAAATTAAATGTTGACTAGCTTTCAGTATCACCACAAGACAGAGAATGAGAAAGACAGAGAATGAGAGGTCGTCGGTGGAATTGTAAAGGCAATATCATGACCTTATTCCCGCCGCGATAGACATTAGAACGTGACCTAAATAGGAAAACGACAGGGCTGAAATAGAATTCTGTGTCGATAAGGAGGGCTTGAAACTAAAAGGAAATTAATTACCGACTTGTTATCCCTTCAAGTGGAGGATTGTTGGACTTTTCTCTCAGGCTCAGCCAATGGGGCTACGATGTAGTGGCTGGTTGAATTAACCCCACTGTTGGGCTCTTCGCTTGCAATCTCAGACTGAAATACAGGGGCTTTGGGTTATCTTGGTCTATCTCCCCATTTGAACTAACAACAAGACTAGAGGGAGCCCAAGGCCTGAGAAATGGCCCAATATACCAAAGATCGACTGTGATTTCATAACCAATCTACAGCTGAAAGCGCTGGCTTCTTGCTGTTCGCTCATCAACATCACCGTCATCCTCAACAAGCTCCCTTTCCAGGTTCTTATTCTGCCTCCAATAAACTCCCATAATCATAGCAGTGATAGGCAAAGCAGCAGCATACAATAAGACAATAGCCAGAAATCCCTTTGTATACTTTGGCGCATCGCTCTCGCGAAACAGCTGCTTTCCAGCCAGCCCACCAGCATTGCTCCCAATGACGACCATCGCCAATCCAATACTGCGCGTCTCGGCAGATCGAGCATTGATACTCAACCAGGCATCATTTAGTCCCTGAGACAGCGCATTGCCACTACTCAAGAGGGTGAAGAGCGCATATTTGGTCCACTTATCCTTATCTGTTGATCCAAACAAAGCACCGCCGAATGTAATACTCCAGAGAAACGCGGCCATGCACCACAGACCTCGCTGTTTCGTTTTGTCGGAGGCCCAGGCGATGGCGAATCTGAGGAACACGACGAGGAAGCTGCTGACCGAGTTTAAGAGGTTGGAGTTGATCTTGCTGAACCCCAGGCTTCGGATGATGGTTGGGCCGTAGAGTTGAAGACCGCCCTTGGGGGCGAGACCTACGAGGTTGAGAAGGGTGTGCATCCAGATACGGTAGTCGGTGAGGGCGGCAATAACGCCTCGGACAGTGATCTTTGCGTGGGCTTCCGTCTTGGAGATGTCTTCTTGATAAATTCTGTCGTGCATGATTTCGCGCTCACGAGAGGTGAAGAGGTCGAACCAGCCGTGAATGGGTTTGGTATGAATTGGAAATCGAGGGAGAAGAAGGATGAAGACGAAGAAGACAATTAGGGTAAAAACACCCTCGACTGTCCGATGTTAGCAATATCCATGACGGGGTAATGCAGAAGGGAACGGACTGATGAAAAGCCCCTGCCAACCAGCCAGACCAGCTATACCGCCCATCTGCAAAACACCCGCAGCGATCAAAGATCCCGTAGCTGTAGCAAAATAATTCCCGAAATAGAAAATCGACGTCCTCAGCGCCAACTCCTTCTCCCTATAGAACAGAGCAAGCATATACTGCCCACCCGGGATGAACCCAGCCTCACAGAACCCCAGCAGAAAACGCGTCGCAAAGAACGAATGCACATTCGTAACCCAAGCTTGCGTCAGAGCAATGGTGCCCCAGATGAGTACCTGGGCTGTAAACCAGATCGGTGCGCCCAGCTTCTGGAGGATGATGTTGGAGGGAATCTCGGCGATGATTATGCCAGCCATCATGAGCTGGTCGCCGAGGTTGACGTCGTTTTTGGTGATGTTGAGATCGGCTGTGAGCGTGTCGGTTAGGGCGTTGCTGATGTTGCTGCGGTCGAGCTGGAGGGCGTAGAAGCCGAGGACGAGGAGCGGCATGAGAATCATGTCGAGTCTGGTATGTGAGCTCGGGGCGTCAATTGGAAAAGGGGATGGTCAACCTACTTTCTGACGACTGCCTTCTCTTCGTCATCTGTCCAGAGAGGTTGCGCAACAATTGACTGCGGCGCATCACCAAGATCATGAGTTTCTTTATCAGGCTTGATAGAATCCATCTTGGGAGAGTGATTCAGAGCCAAGTTGATATCGGGTTCAATGTGGTGTGCGATTCAAGCCCTGTATCGAATTGATTGTCCAGCCGGTGACTGTCTTTATACTCTTTCATCACGATCCCAAGAGTCATCAGCTCCCAAACACGATAAGCTACCAAAGGCAATTCGGTGCGCACGCCATTGATTGTCAAGATCGCGTATCTTTACCTGTCAAGAAGGGTTGGTAGATTATCCACGAGGAAGATCGTCTAGTCATCGGAGGTGAGCGTCGGCGATGAGCGAAAGTGTGGGGTTTCGGACGAGTCGCCGATGGCTTCAGGTTGAGCCCTTGAGCATCCGTGATTGACGAAGATAATGAGCTCACAAAGGGCTTTAAATGAACTTGACTCAATGGTAGTATATTTGTTTGCATCGAGAGGAAAACATTGAAGAATTTCGAAATGTCCAAGGATCCATCAAAACCAAACATCGTCCTCATCCTAGCCGATAATCTCGGCTGGGGTGAGCTCGGCTGCTATGGCGGAGGCATTCTTCGCGGCGCTGCAACACCGCGCATCGACAAGCTCGCCACCCAAGGTCTTCTTCTTCACAACTTCAACGTGGAGAGTGATTGTGTTCCCACGCGCTCGGCCTTGATGACAGGTCGTCATCCCATCCGAACCGGGTGCCGACAATCTGTCCCGGCTGGGTTTCCCCAGGGTCTCACGAGCTGGGAGCGTACCCTGCCCGAATGCCTCAAGCCAAAGGGTTACGCGACGGCTCATCATGGTAAATGGCATCTTGGTGATATTCCTGGTCGGTACCCTTGTGACAGGGGATTTGACGAGTGGTTTGGGATCCCAAGGACGACTGATGAGAGTCAGTTTACGTCGGCTTTGGGATATACACCTGAAGTTGCCGAGTTGCCTTATATCATGAAAGGTGTCGCTGGCAAGGACTCGGAGAACGTTTGTGTGTATGATTTCGAAAAGAGAAGGTTGATCGATGAGATGCTGGTTGACCAGTCAAAAGATTGGCTGTCACGTCAAGTAATGGCAGAGAAGCCCTTCTTCTTGTATCATCCACTCGTCCATCTACATTTCCCGACTTTGCCGCATCGCGACTTTGAGGGCAAGACCGGACAGGGAGAATTCGCCGACTCTATGGCCGAGATGGATTACCGAGTTGGTCAATTGGTCGACCATCTGGATGACCTTGGAGTTCGCGACAACACCGTCTTGATATTTGCCTCTGACAATGGGCCTGAGTTCAGACCCCCATATAGGGGCACTGCTGGTCCGTGGTCCGGGACATATCACACTGCCATGGAGGGAAGCTTGAGGGTCCCATTCATTATCCGATGGCCTGGAAAAGTCCCGGCTGGGGTGACATCCAACGAAACGGTCCACGTCACTGATATCTTCACAAGTATACGCGAAATAGCTGGTGCAGAAGCACCACCCGATAGGCCCATCGATGATGTCAGCCAGGTAGCGTTCTTAAAGAATCCCGCTGCTGTCAAGTCCCAGCGTGAAGGATTCCTCTTCTACATCAAGGATGAGCTGCGCGCTGTCAAGTGGAAGGACTGGAAGCTTCATTTGGTCTGGGAACCAAAAGTCAACCAATCGTCTGGAAAGTTGGAGTCTCCGTACCTGTTCAATGTGGTGAGGGATCCAAAGGAGGAGACGGATATCTTGGCTTACAACACTTGGGTCATGCAACCGGTCATGAGGTTGAGGGCCGCGTTTGAGAAGAGTTTGAGGAGTGATCCGGCACCGCCTGACCCGCTCAAGGGTCTTTGAGGGGTGCCCTAGATTAAGATAAAAAGCTAAAGCAGGGAATCCAATTTTTGTAAATGAAAATTAGTATGCTCATCAATTCGCTTTGTTCAGACGCTAATGGGTGACTGGTGGTGTTACAATCATTTTTGATCCAATATCCACGGATCCAAAGTGGGTGGTGTTGGCGTCCATAGTGTCGCTGCCCCATCCAAATCCAACCAAGGCAATACATTATGTCCAAAGAGAAAGTCACTTGAAATATCCATCGGCACCTCCGAGGAAATTAGAGTGTTCAAAGTATGTGGCGGTGAGTTGGATAGCGCTATGCTTACGAGGAAATTTGATAGTATCTGGTACAGTGATAGCATCGAGGAGAGTATGGTAAGCTGAGTCTCCGGGATTCTGTACATCATTTGGCCTGGGTACTAGCAGGCGCAGTAAACTCAGATCATTAGAGCTGTACGCTTCTGGTGTTGATTCAAGCGCATCTTGGGAAGTTCGGCTGACAACGGACTCAGCGTCTATCCCTTGATTTCGGAGAACAAGCTCAAGCTCGGCGACTCGATCCTCGAGATTCTTGATATAACTGACGACATGCAAGTTAGCATTCAATCGGGAAAAAGGTAACAGGATCCAATACCTTCGAGGCACAGATTGTCCGTCTACATCGACGCTTACACACGGCACTCCGACACGAGCACGCGACGAGCATGCCGGGATGGTCTGGTCACATCGTTGTTTTCGGGACTTGCATCGCTGACAGGCCGTCACGTTGGCACGTCGGACGCTACTTCGTTTACGATTTGAGGGAGTTTCGGCCATTTCTGGCGGTTGATCATGATGAGAAGTCTTTTTGGGATGAATGATAAAAGTCAGGTTTGCCGAAGCTTTCCCCGCATTGGAGATAAGGAGGACCGGACTTGGAGCGATGGCGCGAGTCGCGCTAAACCGTTGAGTTGACATATTGATCAAGTGCAGTTTTTACATCGAAGAAGCCAAGTAAATGCTGCGGATTTAAAATGTATAGAATTAGACTTTTTATACGCTCTATCTCTTGGGATTAAATCATCGTATACTCCAGTTAGACAATGCTTGGGGAAAACAAACATTAAATATCCATATTCTCAGCAGATTCGCCTAGCACTGGCAAGGAATGTCAACATAATTGAATCAAGGCTGTACATAGAGTGCATAAGCTATTATTTGTCTGGTAGCTGTTTGACACTGCAAAGACATCACTCTGATTCACTGTGCTCCCACGTGACACAGGCAAACAACTTCAAAGTCACCAAGCCGACCCCAAACAAACTGACGGCGTCGCCTCTTCCCATTTTGCTCTTTGCTCTCACAACCAAAGCCACATCGCCTGTGTTCCTTCTTGATTAACCTTTCGCCTTTCTGTGTTCATCATGGATCGAGTGTTCAAGCGCGATGGTACATGCAACACACGAATCCGTTCCTCGGATGCCATGCCTCTTCTCTACGTGCCCAAGAAGCGCAAGCCGAAAATGTCCGAGTACGTCTCTTTTTATGTGTTGGCGTTGCTGATCTGACCTCGTCGCAGAAAGCCTTCGCGACTTCTCGCTTGCCCCATTGAGATTCAGCTCCACGTCTTGGAATTCGTCCCAAGGGAGGGTTTGGTCGCCTTGTCGCGCGTCAATAAGCATCTCGCCAGTATCGCCCAGCCTGTTCTTCACAGGGAGCTCGATGTCAATTGTCCTCGCGTCAATTTCAAACGCCACTCCGCCCCGCTGGTCCTGGTTTTACGAACTCTTCTCTCACGACCTGACCTGGCTCAAGCTGTTCAGCATCTTCGCTTAGATGGATACGACTTTGTCGAAAGACGACTTAATCAACTTCCGACCACACCCATCTTCCATCTCTCAGATGATGACAAGTTGAAGGCAGTCCAGTTCATCAGGGCTTTGGATCTTTACCAAGGCCTTGACTGGGCTAAAGCTTTCCTGAAGGGCCAGGTTGATTCTCTGGTCAGTCTCCTTGTGGCTCTTACGCCAAGGGTCAGAAGCATTTATCTCGGCGAGTTCTTCTCTGTTGAGATCTGCTACCTCCGAATGTTGTTGCATCCGGAGAGCTTCGGCAACCCAGAAGGCAGTAACGTGCACAAATTCGAGCATCTCCGCCACGTTACTGTCGACAACCATTGTGCGACGTACCATCACACCCGTTTTGACTTCAACACCGTCTACCAAACCTTCTTTCATCTTCGCATGCTTGAGAGTCTGTCTATCTCAGGAAGCTTTCCCGAGAATTTATCAGCCTTCACCATCCCGGCGAAGTTGGAACATCTTAAACGTATGGATCTGAAGCGAATTGGTGAAGCGGAGCTTGGCCGAATTCTCTCTATGGCACCCAACCTGAAAGAGTTGAAATATACCTACGCCTGGTATCCCTTGAAAAATATGGATTCGACCCACGAACAGACGCTGGACATGAAGACGCTATGCGGTTCTCTGGAAGGTCATCGACAGAAACTCGAAAAACTTGAGCTCCTCGCTCTCGATGACGGTGACGTCCTGGCCGAAGAGCCAGACATTGCATGCCGGCCATTAACCCTTCAGGGCTCCTTTCTCAAACTGCACGACTTCTCGAATCTTCGTAGTCTTGCCGCCCCGTGGATTTTCATTGCCGGGCCGTCGAAGGGGGAACACTCTTCGCCACTGCACCGCCTCATCCCGAAGTCCGTGGTGCAACTAACCTTGACAGACGATCTTTGTCTACAGCCGTACTGGGACTGGGGTCCCGAGGAGGTATCGGGTATGCTAACCGACTATTGGGACGATCTGAAAGATACAAAGACTGCTCTTACCACGATGTTCCTTGTGGGACCGCTACTCTCGAAGCTGTTCACTCAGGACAAGTTACATGTACACGTGTCGAGACAACTTGCTGGTTCTGCGGGTGTCACTCTTTTGTCAGTCGAGCTGACTATTGATAACCGTGACGCATTGCGTGCCGCGGAGGAGCGTGCACGTCGCTATGGGAGCCCATGAGAAAGGGTACAAGCAGAGGTGGTGGAGGCTGTCTAGCATGTAACAGATTCGAAAGAGATGATGTTTTGTTTTGTGTTACATCTTGGCACGGCTCGGTTTTATGTTGGGCGTTGAGAGGATTTGACCAATTATCTGATGGCGAACAAGGATGTCACATTGCCAAAGGGACGCAAGCGAGGTTTGTGCAATGTTTGTAGAGTACAAGGGTAGGCAAACCAGCAATCCCTCTATCACAGAGGGATACTGAGCGTCGTAGTTTGCTGTTTAATATTTAGCAAAAGCAAAATTAATAAAAAGAATAAGTATTATTAACATAAAGGCCCTAACTTCGCGTGCGTGCGGGTTTTCTTCATTACATGTCTCAGAACTGCAGATGTCGTCGTCATTCATTTTTGCATCCCTCTCATCGACCAAATCGGCATCGGACAAGCTGCAAATATCACCCATAACTTGATTATTCTCAACTCAGACCTTGATCCTATTTCAAAGACTCATTTCAATTATCTGAAATGGATGAGATCTCGTGGGAGGTTCGAGCAGCAGCCAAACGCGCCGCCACTCTAGACAAGATACCTTCAGAATGGAGAGTATCGTCGGAGGACCTTAAACGAGCTCAAGATCAACGTGACATCACAAAATCTTTTATTGAGCACTTCCTCGACGAAGAAACAGTTTCTATCACGTCATTAAAGACTGTTAAGATTTTAAATGCTGTATCCGAACAAGAACTCACAGCGACTAAAGTTGTGAGGGCATTTTGTCAACGAGCGGCAGTTGCTCATCAGATCGTGAGTACTAGCATATTTCTCTGTAAGACCTCGAGGTTGACATCATTCTCAGAATAATTGTCTTCACGAAATCTTCTTTGATCAAGCACTCGAACGCGCCCAGTTCCTGGACGATTACTTCACCAAACATGGAAAGACGCTCGGACCACTTCATGGTCTGCCTGTCAGTCTTAAAGACCAATTCCACGTCAAAGGCGTCGATACAACAATGGGTTACGTTGGCTGGATAGACGGTAACCTGGGCGTTGATCCTAACAAGACTCACACGGTAGAAAGCCAGGTCGTCACCGAGCTACTCTCCCTCGGAGCAGTGCTATACTGCAAAACAAGTCTTCCCCAAACGCTGCTCTTCGGTGAGACAAAGAACAACATCATCGGCCAGACATTAAACCCGATTAACCAGAACTTGTCATGTGGCGGTTCTTCTGGAGGCGAAGCAGCGCTTATGGCACTGGGCGGAAGTTCAGTTGGCGTTGGTACAGACATAGGCGGATCATTACGAATACCAGCTGGTTTTTGTGGAATATTCTCGATAAAGCCGACGTCAAATCGACTCAGTTATCGTGATGTGGCGAATACGAATCCAGGACAGGACACATATCGGTCTACGGTTGGATTTATGGGGACGTCGATCGATGCGCTGGAGGTAGTGTTTAAGGCTGTTCTTGGAACGGAGCCTTGGATGAAAGACCCAGCTGTTATACCGATTCCGTTTCGGAAAGAGGTCATGGAGTCGTATCGGAGACGGGCGGATGAGAAAGGGAATGCCAAGTTTGGTGAGAGGCCACTGAAGCTGGGGGTGCTTTGGAATGATGGGATGGTTGGACTACATCCACCTGTTCTTCGTGGCCTGAAGGTAGTTGTTGAAGCGCTGAAGAGAGCTGGGCACAAGGTGCGTATCGACAAGTGAGGTGAAAGCTTGGGGCTGACGAATGACAGGTCGTCGACTGGAAACCACCTTCACATGAAACGGCAACAAACATCCACGCAAGCTTATCACTCCTTGACTCCGTGAATACGCTAACAAAGCGCTACAGGGAGGATTTCTCAGCGCCGATGGAGCGCACGACATCCACCAACACCTCAAACGCTCCGGCGAACCTCTAATCCCTGATTTGCAAGACGGCCTCAATCTGAAAACCCCGACGGAGTTACTCAAGTATCAGGATCTCACTATCCAAGGGCTCGAGTACGAGCGGCAGTATTCCGATTACTGGAACTCCACCGCCGACTCAGATGGTACTTTATCAACCCTCCTTGCCGACCCTATACTGATACAAGAAAGGCCAAATAGTAGAGGTTGTCCTCATGCCTGTAGCGCCTCATGCAGCAGTGATACCTGGAAAGTTCTACCACGGAGGTTAGTAGTGTGAGGCGCTGTTTCATGTGTCGGTGCTAAAGATAGTGCAGCGTATACTGATGCGATGAACTTGACCAATTACACGGCCGTTGTTATTCCCACCACCAGAGCGGATAAGAGGATTGATGTTTTCAATGAGGGGTATGAACCGCTGGGTGAGCTGGATAGAAAGAATTGGCAAGCTTGTAAGTTGCGCCCTCGGAATTAAACTGGCTCTTGGGCTAAGCTAACTGCTACAGACGACGCAGATGTATATGACGGAGCTCCAGTAGGCGTCCAAATCGTAGGGCGAAAGTTTGAAGAGGAGAAATGCCTAGCCATAGCCCGAATAGTCCATGCCGTCGTCCAAAGCGCAATCAAAACAGGGTAGTTGGCTTCTACCAAAAAGCGGAAATACACATACGATTATGGAAATAGGGAGCAAGAACTGGGTTTCATCTGCCGAAGGATACTCGAGCTGTATACCGGTTTTGTACAAGATTGCCAAGAAGCCAAACTCTTTTTGGAGACCAAGGTCATGTTTCAAGGTTGCATTGCAAGGTGTTTGCATGACAGCTGAAAGTGATAGCTTCTTGGCGGGGTGTTCTCCGTTCTTTGACGTTTTGATTCCGCGGCAGGGGGGGCATATCAAACCACGTGGCTTGAGGGGCCAGAACCGATGGAGCGGTATGAATACGACCATAGCTCTGGGGAAGGACGTGATATCGTCTGGTGATCAATTGACAGTCTAGGATTGGCTCTAGTTGATCGACTACAGCATGTTCCTACTGTATTTATTCTACCACTAATTGTTTCTTCTGGCATGTTATCTTTAAGAAAACAACACAACGCGTGGACACAGACGAATGAAAAACTAGGCTTGATTGTTCACCGCCCTGAACCAAGAAACGGAATCGAAAGAGCTATATCAGCCAATCCATGCAGCACCACCATGTGAATCACAATCCAACCCCTTATCGCGGAAGTTTCATGCCGGTGGCAACGCAGCAACACCAAATCTGTTGCAAGACCCGATATCACCAGACCCCAAAACCGCGGAATTAACAGGCTAAGACGAGTAGTATTCTAGATTGCGGACAGTCCAAGTAGCTAAACTGACAGCTGAACCTTGATGAAGCCCAGCTGCCGTTTTCTGTCTCACTAAGAAGCGATAGCGTGCACATACCGTCCGCTAGCTAGACTAGACTACCCGGAGGATCACCCCCTTCTGAGTGTTAGACCCGCCATGTCTGTGCCAAGCCGCGGGAACTGTCAAAGCATTTCCTGTCCATGGGGTTGGTAATTTGACTTGATGGAGGGTTTCGATTGCGACGATAGAAAGGGATGGATATATCCGGATGGATCGGATGCATAAATGTGGTGGTAATGGGTCGGTTAAGTGAAACTGTGAAATCTCTCCAGTCGTGGTTCGTGGCTTGAGGATAATGACACCACTTCACCTAGCCCGCCACTATCGAAGCACTTAGCGAAGAAAAAGAACAAAGCCGTCGTCCTCGAGAATGGCGCGGCTCGAGAAGTAATTAAAAGATAGCTTCGGTGCAATTGTGGTCTAGGTAATTACCAGCGAAGTGCAGAACCGAATCACCCGAGATAAATGGCCGAGAAAGTTTTGAGGGGGCATCCACAACGCAACTCCATCGCATCGTCTCTGCAGGGGGAGGGGCTAATTCATCGTCCCAGTTAGTACGGAGTAGACGGTCAAACTGTTACGTCTCCTTTATGTAACGACAAGACTTTTCTATGGCTGGCCCTACCAACACCACGTTTTCCCCAGACTTTTGCAAACCGGTTCATGAGTACGTAAAAAGCTTTTTTCCCCCAGATTCTTTAAACGAGCACGATTGCCGTGATGATGGTGGAAGAAAAGTGGCTAGATTGATGCCGACGGGACTGGATCTTGAGCTTGTGATTAGGTCGTTCCCATTCCCACGTGTCAGCGAACCAACAGCACAGTCAGTACTCGGAATTATTGGCCCGGAGGAATTTGATCGTTATCAGGGGCAAATTATAGCGCATGTTGGCTGACTCAGATTGACGACGCAATCAGTTACCTATTTGCAGCTTATCATTCCATTTTCCAGTCTGCTCTACTGTTGTTTTTATGTACCCCTGCCGCCACAATCTTTTAGCAGTTTCTACAAGGGGAAAGTCGCCGTGTACCTGGCCCATAACGCCAAACCGCATTTCAGCACCGCAGCCGATTTCGCAGTCGCTGCACGTCGCCAAGAACTGAATTGACAATTGCGCTCAGGCATAATTGACCGGTGTCGCAAGACATGATACGATGCAATTTGTCCGCGCTATCGGTAACAGTTTCATATGTGATCTCTTTGCGGGCTGTCATTGGTTCGAGATCGAGCCAATTACACTTTTGGTCAACGACTCGCTGATGATGGAGGCTTTTAGTGGCTGCATGCCCCTGGCGTCAAACTCCATTGACGTGCCTCAACCGTATCGAACTGCAGCCAACCCCAACTGCGCCGCTTAGTCTGACCTCGAATTGTCTGGGCCCTTGATAAAGTTGACCAGGGGAGCACCCCTTGCTTACTGTCCTCCATCGATTCATTAATGTCCCGCATTCCCCTCGTTTTTGCTTTGCTTTTGCTTGTCAAACTTATTTCGTACCTGGTCAATTCTACTTCGAAAGGCTCCAAGGGCCATAGCCCGTCGATATGCCGCTCTACTCGGACGCCCCCGATGCGCGCCACTTCTACGAGGATAAGCCCACGCTGCTTGTATCATGGTGGATCACGGTCTTTTGTGTGGCGATCATCCTGACCCGAATGTCGGGTCGATACGTACGAGTCGAGAAGTTGCTCAAGGAGGATAAGATCGCTGCCGGGGCGCTTATACCGCTGGTTCTACGGGCTGTTTGTGTTCATTTTGTGCTCAAGAACGGAACGAATAATGTCAACTTGGATGGGTTGAAGTTGAGTGATGCAGATATTGATAAGAGGATCGTGGGGAGCAAGATGGTGCTCGCGAGTCGAGTGTTCTACGCTTCCATGTAAGTTCACATTACTGATTGATGAGAATGAAGCTCACGATGTTCTAGTCTTTGGATTCTTAAACTTACTACCCTCGAGTTCTTTGAACGTCTTGCTGGCGCTACTCGACGAAGATCACATCGTATAATGATCCACGCCATGCGCGCAACACTCGCCGCTACATTCCTCGCCGTCGTGATAAGCGACCTCGCAGAATGTCAACCCTTCCCTCACTACTGGCAGGTCACACCCGATCCAGGCCCTCAATGCCGCCAGGGCTTCGTGCAGATGCTCACAATGGGAGCCTGCAACGCCTTCACCGATCTTGTCCTCATCGCCTTTCCCATCCCCATCATCCTCTCCACTCAAATCGCAACCAAGCGCAAGGTCCTTCTCATCATGCTCTTCAGCTTCGGCTTACTCACCGTCGGCATCACACTATATCGCATCCCCCGCATCATCGAAGCACACGGAAGTCAAGTCGTCCGCACGATGTGGGCATCAATCGAGATCCTCGCCGCCACAGCAGTCGGCAACATCGTCGCGCTAGGCTCGTTCCTCCGCGACAGCGGTGTCAAGCGCAAGAAGTTCAAAGAGTCAAACAGCTACTCCGGCTACTCCAACTCGCGCTCCCAATCGCAGCCTACGAAACTCACCCGCACGGCGCATAGCCAGTGGGAGGATGAGGATCACGTTCGTACGACGGAGGGCATCTGGGCAAAGTCGCATGACACAAGCGACTCGATCTCTAAAGATGAGGATTTAAGAAAGTCGGGTGAAAGACCTGTGAGTCCGACGCAGAGTCACGATTCGCTTATTACGCGGGATGAATTGACGGGCAAGATGGATCGTGATGACTTTGTGTATCAGCAACCGCCGACAGCTGTTATCGCGGGAGGATCTAGACAGGTTCAGCGTGCGCAGCCGACGAGGGATAATTGAATGCGATAATTATGTATATTAGAACATGATAATAATTACGATTTACTTTGTTGGTATCACTGAAGTCTTGTTGGTGATTACTTGAACGTCTCATGTAAGATGCAGTTTATTGTACGTAATAGCCCACCATGATAGCTTCAGGGACCAGGACCATCCCCGGACCCAGTGTGGATATTGCCAGAGTCTCTCTTCCCCATGGGCAGCAAACACGGGGGACGACTTGACATGTCCAGTGAATGACCTTCCAGGTACAGAATGGCATGAGAACTGACGAGAGTTACAGCGTGAGGCAATAACCTTGACCCAGTAACAGTGCACGAACCAAGTGAAATCTTGCTGATCCCACTCAAGTGAAACGTTGCGTCTCCTCCCCCTCCTCCCATTCATTATCTCTGCCTCAATCGCATTTATCTCCCTTTCAACCACTCTCTCGCTGCGCCGCATTTAATTCTCCTGATCTTCACAAGCCAGACTGCATTTTGGCGTCTCTGTTAGTCCTCTTTCGGCACACCCGCACCCCATCATTGGCTCAACGCTCTGACAATCTGCACCCGAAGTAAACCGCGCATATCCCAAAAGTCCTTCTAGAAGCCTTCCAGAACGCGCCCTTTTGAAGACTTTTCTTCATGATCGGCATCCAACCCCCGTCGTAACGTCATTTCCCTCTTCCTCCCCCCAAACTGTCATCTTTTATTCTCCCCGCAATGAAAGATCCCCGCGATGCGCAGACAATGCAATCGTTCAATGTAGAAATGGGCTCCTCGTGGAGCATACACGCTCATAAACCACGAACGTCATGGCTTCATAGCTTCCGACGCGCAGATCCCCTCCCAGGCTATCATCCAAGCGACGCACCAGAGCGGTATTACGACTTACGCGCCGCCAATGCCAAAACAGCAAATACAGCACTTGCGCGAGAATTAAAAGGCCGCCATCTCCAAATGATTGCCTTTGGTGGTGCGATTGGTAAGCTTGATACCTTCCAAGCTCGGCAAATCTCGGCTAATGGGATGTAGGAACTGGGTTGTTCGTCGCGTCGGGAGCGTCGCTTTATAGAGGCGGACCAGCGAGTTTGCTGATATCGTATTTGTTACTCGGGGCGATGCAGTATTGTACTATGCAGTGTCTTGGGGAGTTGTGTGTCATGTTTCCCATCGCGGGCTCGTTTTCGGCGTTTTCGACGAGGTTCTTGGATCCCTCTTGGGGGTTTGCCATGGGTTGGAAGTAAGCTGACTGAAAATCTCTGATTCGCTTTCACTGACTTTTGTAGTTACTGCTTGCAATGGTTGTTCATTTTACCGTTGGAAATAATCGCTGGGGCGTTTACGATAGGATATTGGAACCCGGATCTCACAAAGTCAATATTCGTGGCTATATTTCTCTCCGCTATTGTCATAATCAACCTTTTTGGCGTCAAGACGTATGGCGAAGCTGAGTTTATCTTTTCTCTCATCAAGATCACCGCAATCGTTGGCTTCATGTAAGTCAGCTCCCCTCCCGCTCCTCTCACCTCTAACGGTCTAGATTACTCGCCATCGTCATAAATGTCGGCGGGGAGCCCGAGAGCGGTTACATCGGCGGCATGTACTGGCGTAACCCAGGCCCCTTCAACAACGGCTTCAAGGGCTTTTGCAGTGTCCTCGTTACATCTGCATTCTCCTTCACGGGCACAGAGCTCATCGGTCTCGCCGCCGCCGAGACAGCTAACCCGCGGAAATCGTTACCAACAGCGATCAAGCAGGTCTTCTGGCGCATTACGATATTTTACATTGTTGCGCTATTGCTGGTTGGGCTATTGGTACCTTCTGACGATAAACGGCTTGTCGGCGGTGATAATGTCGCTGACGCGACGGCTAGTCCGTTCGTTATAGCGATAGAGAAGGCTGGTACTTCTCTACTTCCGAGTATAATGAATTCTGTCATCTTGGTGGCAGTGATAAGTGTTGGGAATTCCGCGGTTTTTGGATCATCAAGAACATTAGCTGCGTTAGCAGAACAATCGCATGCGCCGCAGATCTTTGCCTACGTGGATCGACAAGGACGTCCGCTTATGGCAATAATATTCGCATCATGCATCGGTCTCCTCGCATTTCTCGCTGATGTCAGTTTCCACGACTCCATCTTCAACTGGCTTCTCTCTATTAGTGCATTGAGCACTTTATTTACGTGGGGAAGCATCTGCTTATGTTATATCCGCTTTCGAAAAGCGTGGTATTACAACGCACATACTCTGGAACAACTGCCGTTCAAGTCTCACGTCGGCGTCGCAGGGGCCTGGTTTGCTTTTGTTGGGTATATCCTTGTGTTGGCCTCTCAGATTTGGATTGCTGTCTCGCCGGTTAATGAGCCGGGTATTGACAGGAGTGCCTCGGGACTTACACAGAATTTCTTTTTGAAGGTTTTGGCGATACCCATCATCTTGTTGTTCTATTTATCTCATAAGGTTTGGTACCGGACGCAGATTGTGCGTCTGCCTGATATGGATGTTGTCACTGGGCGGAGATATTTTCGTGTGCATGTTATGGCGGAGCAGGAGCGGGAGGCGCGACATGGCTGGCCCAAGTGGAAAAAGGTCTATCGGTTTCTCTGTTGATGTATTTGCATCGGATGGCGTTTGCATAGCGACTGGTAGATTATGTAACCTAGATAGATACACGATTTGTAGAATCATCATTGCAGCGAAACTCTTCTCTAATTTATGTCTTCACATGAAACTCGCTACAAACAGGCTTTGATAAAATCCATCCAACGCCATCCTCTATGACCTTATCCCATCTATTGAACGCCGATAACTTTTCCTCGTGCGATCTAAAACCATGGGGGAGCCCCAAGAACAGGTTGGTGTCTGTCGGAACTCTGAATCATGTCAGCCAAGGTCGGCAAAGAACCCATACCATCAGCTACTCACCCGGCTTCTACCAACATCTTCCCATAAAGGAGTGCTTCGTCTCGGAGAGGATCGAGACCTACTACACCAAGTACTGTAGGTGGCATCCCTTTAACTTGTTCCGGCGATGCATTTCCAGGATTGATCTTTAAATCATTGACGTCCGGGTTCTCGATCTTCAGCAAACTAGTGAACCAGCGAAGTTCCTCAACGGTAAGCATCGGCGCCGTAACATTTGTTTTGTAAGATGAGATAGACTCGCTCTTCATCTTTCTCAGCTGGGGCTCATAGCAATCAACGTGCACGAGGCACGGTATCATGAGGACTTGGCCTGCGATCGGAGGTCTTTTCTCTGTTTCACGATTCAAGTGTTTCTGTAAAGTGAAAGACGCAGCGATCCAAGCGCCAGCTGATATTCCGCCAATAATGACTCTTTCCGAGTCCCAGTACATCGTATCCATGTTATCGTGAGCCCATTCGAAAGCATCTTCAGCGTCGTTCCATTGCGTCGGATACGCGAATTCCGGCGTATGTCTGTAATCAATATTCAGAACCGCCACATTCGATCGAACGGCTATACGTGCACATATTGCATCCTCAGCATCCAGCGAGCCGAACATAAAACCACCGCCCTGGAAGTGTATATACAATGGGAGCAGGGCTTGTTCCGGCGTATTGACTGGCCGATAACTCCGTGCCGGTATCATACCCCCATCACGAGAGGGAATGTCGTGGTTCTGTATCCGCAGTTGAGGCGCAAGTTTTATCATCGACTTTCTGGCGATAGCTTCTCGTTCTTGGTTCGCTATTCTTTTCATCTCCGGGATCGGCATTTCCGGTACTGGTGGCGGTGGTAAGGATGCTTCAAGGGCAAGCCACTCAGGGCTTACCCCGTCGTAGCATGAAAAGTCACACATTGGAGAGGCTTGAAGCATTGTGATGAGAAGGGGACGTGGGTAGAAATCTGCATACGCAAGACTTTGCTGACCGGCTCTTTAGTTTCCATTAGCCGAGGCTATACACGATTCTCGCTGCGCTAGGCCAGGAAAGGCAGGGGACGATAGCCATAAGAATAGAAGATGAATCGAGTTACAATTTATATGCTAAGCAGAAAGAGAATACAAGATTTTAAATGTATTTCAGTGATGTAGGAGAGAATCTAGAGACGCAAGCGAGCCAACCTTGTATATAATATTGGACTTTCAGCAGTATGATTAACAGACACCTGCCTAAGGAAGATAATAAAATAATAAAATAAGGAATACAAAGACTTGAGGAAATATAATGTAACTAATCTCTGAGATTGGGTATTTATGGTACATCAATGAGGGGCCAAAGACTTTTTACTCCCTGGAATGTGCCAGAAGAATATGGATGGGGCAACTCTAAATATACAATCTATTTTGACACATTATACATCAAATATGGGCATGAGAGTACTGTGTTACTTTGCATTATTGAACTTTGTATTAGGGCTGAACCTACTCTCAGCTCTATACTACAGTTCCACTCCATTTCTTGTCAAGAGTCCCAAACTATCATCCTACATCTACAAAATTCTCACTCCCTGTATCCCACACGCGTGCACAAGAAGCATGAAGACACTCTCTGATGATGAAGTCATTTTAAAGCTCACCTGTGATAATGAGCTCGATCGCTGCACGGTCATTGATGACATTATCCCCGCCAAGCCATCAAAGATTCATCCAGAGCGCCCCGTGTCCTGTTTCGGCCTACTAGGCAGTTTACCAGCAGAGCTGCTCCTCATCACCGTTGACCCCCTAGACTTTCAGTCGCTATCACGCCTTTCGCGGACCTGCTTGAGGGCCAAGAGAGTCGTCGAGAATTTCGTGCCGTATCAGCAGGTGATTCAACATGCACCGAAAGTCCCAACAGCGTTGATCAAGACAAACCTCGCTGGTCATTACCCGCCTTCAGTGGTGTATCGCACGCTACGGACCGACCGCTGTGTTTCCTGCACGGACTTTGGGGCATTCTTATACCTGCCCACTTGCGAGAGAGTCTGCTTCGAGTGTCTTAATCAGAACAGGGGACTGTGGATGATCACAATACCGATGGCTAAAAAGTACTTCGGCTTGACATATCAGCAAGTTCAGACACTCCCCATCATGCGCATCATCCCAGGGAGGTACTGTCTCCGGACACGTGACAAGACACACCAAAACCCTTTTCGGCTGGTCAGTGTGAAGGCTGTTAAGAGCTTGGCGATTCAAGTTCACGGGTCTGTGGAAAACCTGGCCGCATTTCTACCTTACCTGGGGACAAGAGCGGAGTACACCATAGCGCAGTACAATTTCTATAATAAGTTAAAGCGCTTCCACGAAGCGCCGGTGGAAGCACCAGGATGCGATATGTCGAAACTTCCGCAACTACCTTTGGATGCCAGCGATTCGTTCGCAGGTGTGTCCAGTCTGCGCGCGCCGTACATCACAGACACAGGAGCAGACTGGGGACAGCTTTGCAAGGGATGTAAGATCACGCACAGAGACTTCAGATATCATGCTCTGCCTGGGACTGTTCATGCACGATTATGTTCCCCCAAGGTGCTTAACCTCGCATGGGGTGGTCAAATGTATAATCCCAGGGGCATAGAATATCTTGCACCTATTTTGGCTTTAGCGACGAGATTGCGCTCGCGGAATGGGATGTTGGCTCACGCGAGCCATTGCTATGGCGCACTGAAGATCCTCAGGCAGTTGAACAATATTGAGGCAGCCGAAGCTCTCGAGGCTAATGATACATGAAAGTCGCTGGCGCACCTCGCCCTGACTCATCTGTCAACTCAGATGCCAGTTCCTCAATTTCAGCCCTCGCCTTCTTCTCATCATATTTCTTAGCGTGCTCGAAATCAATCATCTTGACGTTCCCAGTCGATCGCTCGACAATGAAGTTGTAGCGATTGGCGTCTCCATGAACGAAACCCAGCTTATGCAATTTGCGCAAAGCCTCCTCGCATTTAGGCAGATCCGCTGGTGTCGCATAATCGCCCTCTATCTTTTCCAAGAGAAGCCCGACATTTCTGCCTCCCTCAAAAAGATGTCCCAAAACCTCAGGGGTCAATCGCGCCTCATCAGCGCCTTGCAACTTGGCCAAAGCTTGGTACACCCTAGTCTCGTGCTCAATTTGTGGAACGAGCCACTGGAGAACGGCAATCTTGGATATTGCAATTTTCCCTTGATATTCGACTTCTCGAACGCGCTGCTTGTGATATTTGATGCGCTTCAACAAAAGTACGTCGATATGCTGTGGGTGCCAGGTGGATTTCACCTCGTCCAACGGTTCGAAAGAAATATCCGATTGAACGCTGCCATCCGGACCGAGAGAAAGGCTCATCTTCGTCCAATCTTCGTCCGGGAATGGGGGAAGCTTTGGAACGAGAAGATATGGTCGACAGAGCGTATCTTCATCGAAAATAGGGTTGGGGCTCGCATGGCCAGGAATTGTAACATAATGCACGCGGTTGCCGGCCCGAATGCGGTATTGGCCTTCGTCTTCGTCTATTTCTTGGTTGAGGATTTCGATATCGGACTGAGGCACAGTATTGATATCTTTTGTAATGGGGCTCGACATGATGAGAGTTATATCGGTGATAGTGTGTGCCAAAGGAAGAATGATGGTATTGTCAAGATGTTTTGAGTACTCAGGAGCCCCGCGGTTCAAAGTATCACAGTATGTCCCCGCCAATTATAACACTTAGCTGCAAAGTAGTCAAGCCCGGCGCTTAGCTGGGGCGCCTAGGGGAGGAATTGAATATTCAGGATCTTGATCCTTGATGATAAAAAGACTTAGATAACTTAGAATAAATTTAAGGTAACTTTACTAAATTTAGGATATATTTTACTAAGTTTATTTTTAATATGCTCTATCCAGGTCTGAGTTTTCTTGCCACCTATGGGGCTCACAGGTCACCGCAATATGGCTCTGCCTGGTAGGCAAACTGTCACTTTATAGAAATTATCCACCGGCAGTTATTTGATTAATCCGATAATACAACGGAATTACGGTAGTCTGACATGTTCAAATTCAAAAGTGCGCCTTACGTCACATCCTTACCTTACCTTAGTTCGAGGTGGAGTGGCGGGAAGTGTCTGTCCGCTTATGTCATCTTCAAAATATGTCATCTCACTTTGAGCGGACCATCATCTTCCTCAAGTCAAGCACCACGGCCCGTCAAGATCCGTTCCGCCATCATGAAAACATCTCAACGTAGATCCCAGCGGGCATCTGCCGCTTGCGACTTTTGCCGAAGGCGAAAGGTAGCAATGCATTCGTATTGGCGCAACGCATCGGCTGACTCTTCCTAGCTTGGTTGCGATAACGCGAAGCCAAAGTGCGAAAATTGCCAGGGCCGAGCTATTGAGTGTACATATTCTCACAGAATTGCTCAAGCTAGGTGGGATTGTGCAAAGGCCATGTAGGGTTGGTGCTAACGTGTGTGGGTAGACCGTCTAATGCGCGCATACAGAAACTGGAGGAGGAAAATGCGCGTTTACGCGATCAATTGTGCTCAAGGAGTCCAGAGTTGAGTGGTGTGCATTCTGATGCTCAACAACGAGACACTCACTTGGCTGCTGATACCCCAAACCCAATTGAATCAACACCTACGCTGAACATCATCAGCGATCAGACTCATCAAGCAAAGGCGCAGGCTGTCTCTCCTTCTTGCCATTCCGCAATCGGGCAACCCGAGGGCGCCGCTTTTCATGGCCCTTCCAGCGGAGCCTGCGGAGGCATACATATAAGAAACAACAAAGAGCCGCCTCGTATAACCAGCCACGATGAGATTACCAAAAACCAACTTTTAGCAGAGACAGCCAAGCAACGTGAGTGCACATCACTCGATATTCAAGATTCGATGCTCATCCAAATCAGGTCAACTCGAAAAGGTCAACCTCAGAGCAAGAAAGCTTGACTTCTGTGGTGACGACCCAAAGATTGGCATGGATCTTCTTTCCAAATTCTGGAACCGCCAGCATTACATGGGCTCTATCGTCTATCGGCCAGCTTTTATGCGCGACATGGCATGCAAAGGCCCTTACTACTCCGACCTTCTCCTCACAGCCATGCTCTTTGCTGGCTCTATGCACACAGTTGATGCAGCTGCTCTCCGAAACACTAGCAGGCTGAATTCTATCGGTCATCCATATCGTATCAAATTCGAACAAGCCTTGCACGCTTCTGGCTCTCAGGTGTTGTTCAAAAGTGATATCACTACCATACAGGCACTGCTGGTCGTTTCTGATGCCTTGTTCTCATGGTGTAATGAGAGGAGTCTCTCATGGCATTACTTAGGTATCGCGATTAGTATGATAATCGATCTTGGTCTGCACATTGATGGGCCAGTTCGAAGATCTTCAAAGAAAGTATCTGCTGAAGATACGGAGATCGAGCGTCGGGTATTCTGGGCGACATTCGGTAAGCATCTCAACCCCTGCAGAGTTACTTCTAGCTAATATTTCTAGTCTCGGACAAGGTCCAGTCTATCTACCAAGGTCGTCCGACTCGGTTACGCGAGCATGATAACCGTGTGCCGATTGTGTTTCTCGATGAATACGAAGAACTGGAGGATTTCCACACACGAACGTACTGTGCTCAGCCGTCTCAGTTGGATTGTCCGACGTATAGTGTCTCCACGTTTGTGCAGCTTTGTAAACTCAGCATTATCGTGGATCGTATTCTATGCGCTCTTTATGCTGAGAGGAGCGCCACAAAGAACGCTGATCAAACATGGCAGACTGCGCAGTCACTCCACGCTGATCTTCAATCTTGGAAGGATGGGTTGCCGGAGTGCTTGAGAGTTGATCTGAACGACCCTACTTCCTCTAACATCCTTCCTCACAATCTGACATTGCTGTGAGTCTGTTGTTTGGTTTCCCGTTCACACACTGACTCTATCAGGGCATTGTACAACTCACTAATCATCTTGATCTATCGTCCTTTTCTTTCAGAGGGTCACCTTACATCTGTCTCTGCAACAGTCGCACCTGAAGCCTTCTTTAACTGTGTCACAGCTGCGATAGAAACCCATCAGATTCTACTAGTTTACAAACAGCATTTTTGCTTTAGGACAGCGCCCTATTTTATCTCGTACGCCACGTACGTTAGCGCAACGATTCATGTCCGTATGGCTGCGCAGAAAAGTCCAGGATCGCAAGCGCATTTATGTCTTAGAAATTGTTTGGAGATTTTATCCGAACAGCAGACGTGGTGCCACGCCCCAAAGCGAACGATGAAGATTCTTTTTGGTATCATGAAGCGTTTAGGTGTGAATGTTGGAGAATTCGTGGCGATAGAACCGACAAGCTGTCAAGATGGCCACCTGGGACAGATTGATATATCTGAACTATCTCAAGTTGACCCTGACATCATGTACCAAGAACCTGACGTGTCAGTGATGCAGCAGCCAACACCTGACACGGCAGTTGACTTCTCTAACCTGGAGTTTTCTGATTTTGACATCGATCAGATCATGCAAAGCTTTGTATTTGAAGCCCCTCTGATGGCACAGGGGGATTTTGTGCCAGTGCCTCAACCTGGATTCAGCCATTATGGCACGGGTGATGAGGCACTCACAAGTCGGGATATGATGGTGTTTGATAACTTATTCGGGTTCGACTCCAGTACCTCCTAGGTCACCAGTTTGACTGTCCTAGTCTGGTTACGTATAGCGATTCTATCTCAGTATCCGTTTCATTTCGTATAAACGGGAGAAACGTCATGTCAATCGGGCCGCTTACAACAGAATGTTCAGGCAAAATCCGGAAATAAATGACCATAATGTCGAGTAATGAATTTCAAACGATCATGTCGAATGAGGCTCAGAAGGCTGGCGTCTTAGCGTCTCTTTTGCGGATTTTAGCCTCCGTCGACATTCACGACCGGCGGAAAGCCGACGCAGCGGGCACTTGTCCGGTCCGAGATATCCGATCGAACCGCTTTAATTGACATCATTGCACTCGTAAGGCTGAACACTACAGTTTTCGGTGACAGTGTTATGGATCTAGTGATGCAATTGTCACGATAACCGAGGTCAGAAACTTTTCAGAAAAGTATTTAGTAACAGAGTCGCAAGTGCTTTCAGTAATGTCCAACTCAACAGCCTGCAGACAAACACATCGACTAACTACTCCCAATCATTATGACTTCAGCGAGCGCCGACGTTCTCGGCTACGAGAAATCAATCTTTGACGCTGGTCTCCACTTTGCTCGTCCTGCGTTTACTTTCCAAACCTCGCAATGGGAGCCTTTGGCGAAAGAGACACTCTCGGCTACTTCTTGGGGCTATATCCACGGAAACTGTGGCAGTGGCTCAACATACAAGAACAACTTGACTGCTTTCTCTCGCTGGTCCATCGTTCCAAATCGCCTCGTGCCTAGTCACAGGGATGAGAATGGTATTGAGCAGTTCTCTGATACTTCTACCACGGTTCTTGGTCAAAAGCTTTCCTTCCCACTTGCAATTGCACCCATTGGAGTTCAAAAAATCTTCAATCCTGAGGGTGAAGCTGCTACTGCGCGAGCCGCTGCATCTCTTGGAGTTCCGTATACGCTAAGCACAGCTTCAAGCACAAGCATTGAAGATGTCGCAGCAGCGAATGGAAAGGATGCACCTCGATGGTTCCAGCTCTACTGGCCGAGCCGCGAACACGATGACATCACTATCTCAATGCTCAACCGCGCCAAAGCATCCGGCTACACGGCTCTCTTCGTCACCCTTGACACATACGTCCTCGGCTGGCGTCCGAGCGATCTAGACAACGGCTACAACCCCTTCATACACCCGGACCACATCGGTGTCGAAATTGGTCTGACAGATCCTGTTTTCCAAAAGAAGTTCAAGGAGAAGCATGGCTATGATATCACTGATGCAGCGAGTGGAGTCTACCAAGCGGCTCAGGGCGGATCCGCAGGAGCTAGTCTCGGTGACGCGGCGAGAGAGTGGGCCAAGATCGTATTCCCCGGTCATTCCCATTCCTGGGAAGATGTAGAATTTCTAAAGAAGCACTGGGACGGTCCCATTGTTCTCAAAGGAATACAGAGTGTTCACGATGCCAAGAAGTGCGTTGAGGTTGGTGTTCAGGGAATTGTGGTGAGCAACCACGGCGGTCGTCAGCAAGATGGTGGAGCGAGCAGTCTTGGTATGCTTCCGCGAATTGTTGATGCTGTTGGGGATAAGCTTGATATCTTCTTCGATAGTGGTATCAGATGTGGCGCTGATATCATGAAGGCCATTGCCCTGGGAGCCAAGTGCGTTCTTGTTGGAAGGCCTTATGCTTATGGTTTAGCGTTGGGTGGTGAGGATGGTGTGAGGCATGTTCTGAGAGCGCTGTGTGGTGATTTGACTATGAATATGCACTTGGCTGGACTGAGGGATATTAGTGAGGTGAATCGGGATATTTTGGTGAAGGAGAGTGATCTTGTGTAACGAAAGGTTACATCAGTCGTGGACGAGGCACTAAATATTGGTGGTAAATATATTTACGTTATATTTTGAATAGAGCGCATGTTTTTAAATTTTTGCAGACTAAAACTCGATCTATCTCCCACGATCCTAATCCAGCTGCAGGTTTATCAAGGTCGACTGATTCCAGTAACCATCTTAAGCTACAGTATTGTCATTACTAGCTAGGCTATCAAGATGATTGGTGCATTAACTTGGAGTAACATGTTCTCTGATATCGAAGAAAAGGGATCAAGACTATTTGTGGACAAGGAATAATGGCGAAAGAATCTGATCCCGGCACTGGCCTGTAAACTCTCGCTTTGCTGAGGATGTTTGCTTTGAGATCCTCTACCCCATTAATCTTCCTCTCCACAAGCCTCTTTGATTCTTGTCGTTGTGCAGAAACCTTATTTCCGTCAGTTAGCATTTGTATCTCTGTTCCGTGTCTGTTTTCACTTTTCTTTTGTTCCGTCTTTGCTTTCATGCATGAACAGAGCTCACATTGAATCATCCGTAAACGTTCGTTACGCTGGCTTCACTTTGTTCAGCTGACTGGACAAAGAGCAAATTTCCAATGATTTTTTCTTATAAAGGGCGGCTCGAGGCCATGCAGTTATCATCAATCAGCTCACTTCTCTGATATTCAGACTTGAGTCAGCAACTACAGACCTTGTTCAAATTCATATCAACAGCACCCTTAACACCATCTACCACAATGTCTTATCACAGCCGAAACTCCAGTGGAAGCAGCCACATGTCTCTGCTCCGTCTCCCTAGCCCCATCGAGCTAGCTGAGGATCATGTCTACTCCAGAGCATCTCTCTACCCCCTTGACCGCACAGACTACGAGCCATGCCGTAAGAGGATCATCAACACGAGCTTCGGTGCCCGTCAGATCATCCGTTTCATCAACCATCTTGAGACACATGATCCCGCACAGCACGATGCCGCGGTGAAGAGACTTGTCGAGATTGGTGTCGATGTGGATGACCTGGTTCGTCTTTCTCAACGTCGTGCTGAAGTTCCATGGGAGGAGTCTTGGCCGTATAACTGGGAGAAGAAAGACGGTTTGGTCTTGGGATACATGAAGAGGAACTTGCCTCGTTGGATTGCGATTATGAAAAAAACAGAGGCTCGGGAGGCTGCTGAAGCTATGGGTGAGACTCTTGAAGACGATGATTCAGATGATTATATCACCGCTGATGAGATGGATGAGACTGAAGCTTCCCCAGGGAACGAGGTTCGTCCAGCGGAAGGGGTGCAGGATGATGTAGATGGAGACGAGACGAAAGGCTCATCAGCTGAGGACGATGGCATCTATAGTGAGTCGCGTCTTCCTAAGGGTTCTATGACTCTCAGGGAGTTGATTGCGTCCTATCGCAAGGCTCACGCGGAGCAGAAGCGAGCTGAACAGATGCAGAACCAAAAGGAGGAGACCGAAGTCTGATGAGAGTGAAATGGCAAGTTTGTTATTTTCACTCTTTTCGTGTCTACGGTAGGTCTTTGGAGTTAAGGTGCTGGCTTTTCGAGACTTATAATCGGTCCTAGGATATTTTCTTGGTTAGACTACAATTGATAACTCTTCTGAGAGCTGTGTATGGATCTGAGCTTAATGTTCCTATTCAATATAAAATGTAAGTGTCGACTTACTTCCATGAGTGCCATAAAGCACTCAAAGTATGCTGCAGTAGTAACAAGTACTTCACTCATGTAAAGGAACCGAAGGATTAACTTTACTTGGAACTTTTGGAACGATCAGACATTTTGGGTGGCTTCAAAGCGTACTATTGTGACCATAGCGTGCTTTTGGCAGACGTGATGAATTGATCTGCATGCCGTCTGTTCCGGCGTGAGACTGTCGAAGTCTTTAACCAAATTAAATGCGCTTCTATCACATGATTGACCTAATTGCTTCAGTATATAAGCTAGGTCAATAGTGCTTACTTCTTGAATATTTGATCTTCATTCATACTCAAACAGAAGTCAAAAACTTCAGAGACACACCTGCATCCTCCCTCTTCACTCAACTGTCATCACAAGCTTCCGGCCACTGTCTTTCTCCTGTGCGTTCCATTGATAGAATGGCTAGTAATGCCTCATCCCGAGTTACACCGCGGCCCGGCGAGCTTCCAGACGCAAATCGGGACGCTCTTAGGGCCTTTGGAGTTTTGAAAAAGGGCGGCGTCATAATCGCCCCAACCGATGTCGAGTACGGCATGATGGCCGCAAGCACCGATGCAATCGAACGTATCTTTATCGCCAAAAGGCGTAAAGCAGGACATTCCATGGGCGTCATCGGAACATACGACCTTCTTACACGACTATACGATCTTCCAGATGAGAAATACACCATCGTCCGAACATTCACAGAAGAATTAGGATTGACGGTTGCTTTCGTTGGGAAAATCAAAGAATCAGCATCAGAGCCCATTCCGAATGTTGAGCGGGTTGTCAAGAACGGTACTTTAGGTTTCGCCATTGGCGAAGGCCCTTTCTCACGGGAACTGGCACGGCTAAACGATGAAAATGGCTTGGTGATGGTAGGCAGCAGTGCCAATTTGACGGATCAAGGACAGAAGTTTCGAGTTGAGGACATTGAGTCTGAGATTATGGAGGCAGCAGATTTAGTTATCAACTATGGTCGGCAGAAGTGGCATCTGTATGGGAGGGCCGGGACTATCCTGGACTTGGACAGTGAGCGAGTCTTAAGGATTGGGGCAAACTATGAGAATATAAGGGAGAAGCTGATTGATTTGTTTGGATGGAGTGTTCCAGAAGATCCGGACTATGATATGACCGGGAAGCAGACCGTTGGCTTCTCAATCAAGGGGAATTCAGATAGCTGAGTTTTATAGTACGGTTTAAGGAGAATGTAAGATGATTGAAAACTCATCAGGTTTCTATAAATAGCTGTAAATAGATGGTATATATCCAGACTCCGTACTCCTATCCCCGTTCATGTTCGATGCTGTACCGTGTTGTCAGCTGGCAGCTCATGCGTGAAATGCGTCGGCGACCCTCCCATTTCCCACGGTCCGTGTCTCGCCGCGTTATCATTCGGTGCTTCAACCGGCGCATATCCATACTTCGGCGCTTCCTCTGCTGTGATCGTCGACGGCACAGCCTTATCACCCCGCCGTCTTCTCCAGAGCATGAACCCAGCGCCAGCAATGAGAAATGCTCCAGCGACAGCACCTACTGCCACTCCGGCAGTTGCACCCGTGGATAGCCCAGATGACGGCTCATTCGTCGACGAAGCAGTGGCCACAATCGTGTCACTTGCTTCGCTGGTCTTTGTCTTGGTGCTGGGTTTGTTTGTTCGCGTACCAGTTGGTGCTGAAGTTGTTGTAGACGAAGGATCGGTGATGTTGAATGTGTGGCTGGCAAAAAGGGCACCTGTATCACCAGTCTTGAACAGCCAGAGACTAAAAGAATTTCCGTCGGCGGGATCGATGCCTTGATATGACGCGATCCATATGTACTCCTTCGATTTGCTGTTTGCTGGAACACAGTCAATCAACAGTTCATCTCTGATTTTTAGAAACGTACATTGTAGGTTGTATCTCTTCCCAGTGTCGGTTTGCCACATTGTAAGATCAGTAAACTCCGCATCCGTCTCCCAAGTGATCTTGATCTCCTGCCCTAGCTTATAGTGAGGATTATTTATGCTGGAGTCGCTCGGCGGCGGATTCGTGAACGCAGCGGTTACTATATGATAAAAAGATAGAAATGCCAGTATGGCAAGTAATCGACGGGTCGCCATGTTTCGCGTTATCATGACAGAATTCTATGGTGCGGAAGAGAAAAGGGAGCGAAGAAAAGACGGCACGCGATATGCAGGATTATTACAACTTATAGCTTACTTTTGGTCCTTCTACTGGTGGGCGTAATAGATGCATTACAAGGATCGACATGCTGCACGTGTCCTTAATTAAGAGGCGGGAATGAGCCTCGCCATTCATCTAGTGCTCGCTAGTAAGTGGCTTGGTGTGTCAGACAGATATTGGCCCCCGTTGTCACCAGGCTGTGTACTCGGCGACAATGTGCTGAGGGAAGCAATATAGTAATTCATTTTCACTGGATGTAAACTCATGGCATGTAAGGATTCCAAAGATACAAATTTCTTCATCTGGCCTTCAACAAACCCTGGAAGTATTCCTTTGGCCGACGCAGATATCGAGATCTTGCTCAGTAGAAAAGAGGATAGAACATGGACCATCCCTGCTAAGACAGCAGTGAGATGATCACTAAATGACCCAGTCAGCCAGTGCAATCAGAGGCCCGCTTCCATCGGTGCCTCAGCCCCCAGGTTTCAAGACGCTAGGATCGACAACCCTATCACAGATGTTTCATCTCACTCAGCTCACATTACCGGGCTCCATAGAGATCAAGATTTCAATGTTTGTCCTGCTGTAATCTTTTGACTTTCTATCGATGGAGGTAATCGAATATTCGATATCATTAACAAGGCTCCTTTAAGTTCCGACTCTCTCATTTTCCCTCTTGTGACATCTCTCGTTCATATCTTACTTGTTTTCACTAATGCACGCGAAGCTGGGTGATATGACTCAACGCCAGTGTGATTGGTTCTCGCTATCCCTGTTGCGATCCTTCTCGGTCCCGAGACTTGAGAATACAGATACTGACCAAGGACGCTGTATCTACAACCAAATATGACAGGTTTATGGTAACTTGGGTTCCTATCTCATTACTAATACGGTTAGTTGCTTCATGAATTTATTCAAAGTGTTCAAGTGCCCGGAGATGAGTGAAGTTAGGTGAATCTGGGTGTTCAGAGCCTCTAGCTGTTGAAACGATCACTGTCGCTAGCCGTATCTGGTTAGACTCATTTGCATCGCCCTTCGTGAGTTATTTCCGTAACGAACTCAGCCTCTGTCGGACTCTCATTATCGCTGCGCATCTTTAACTAGTAGCGTCCTTTACCTATCCACTGCTATCTCTTTGTCTATCATTAATCTACTATAGCATGTTGTCGTAAGTGGCAGGCTTTGCATGTCTAACCCCAAGCTTCAATATCTTTCCCCATTGGGACTAGACCTGTCTCCTAGTTGAATACCCTAAACACCAGAGAATTCCTGGATTGTCTTGACTCGGATTTATTTACAACCTTTTTGATTTTCAACGTTGCTGAGAAATAAAAAAAGTATAGCCATGGCATGCTTCCCAATACTGCAGTACTGTAGGATAAGACGTGAACCTATTGTCTGGCCTCACACTCTTCTTTTCATGTTTCTCCTTGCAATCATAACAAAAAGCATGCATGCCAGCAACAGCTATAAAAATGTGGAAGACCAGGCATCAATTCCGTTGAATGTGTCTGCCGAAAGCCTTACTTCCTTGTTCTATGTCTTGAGTAACCAGCTAAATAGAAAAGTTGCAATATCCGAGGCCCTCGATCATCATCCAGGAATTCGTAGATCGCTTGAAGCCTTGCACAATAGTCCAAACACTCGACGCAGCAGTTTTGAGAACTGGGATGGTCAAAGAACGTTTGATTCAGCTGAATATGAGCATAATGTTGTTCTTTTCAATCATCTCGCATTGATAAGCGTTAACCTGACAATCATGAGCGCAGACACCGATTGCTTGGGTTTCGTCGGCTCTGAGGACCAACAAACTGCAACTTGAATGACGCAACCCGATGATAGCGGAGGCATCGGAGTTCCTGCATAGAGTGTTCAATCCACATTCCACGGAGCTTTTTGATTGTCATTGACAATTACTTCGGTAATCTATAGGATAAGCACGGGAGACTCGTCCGTTCCGAGTATCCGAAAAAGCCGGGACGATAAAATTGACGGACCCTCTTGTTCTCCGATATCCGTCAACGACGTATGTACCTTACGTGGTAATTGACTCTTACCGGAGATAAGATAAGAGGTGGTGAGTAAACAAGACGTTCACAAGCTTCTCTGTAACAGAACAGAGTCAAGCCAAAGACAATGATAACAGGGAACACAATGCAACTCTCTGATCAAGCTGGATAAATGCACAAGATCATTATCCAAAGCTGGAGTTGCATTAACAACTATGATGTCAGTCTCAAGCTCCGATTGGCCCCGAGCTCATGCGTAAGCCCGCCTAAACTCCGCGGATACGGTGGGGGCAGGGAGCTTAGCAGGCTTAGCTTACCTGCATAAGCAGGAGCTACCTATACTGAATTTTTGATCTCAGCATTGCGAGTGGTTTTTTTCTCTCACTCAACCTCAAAAACCTCACTCCTCCTATCCTCAATCTTCATTCTTACAAGGCATTATACCTCTGCATGTTATTATCCCAGAATCTGAAGCGAATGGTCCCGTCTCGTCTGTCAGCGTCGGGATAAACGCCACAAAGAGGGGCTCAAGATCCCTCATTCAGCCTAAGACGTCAGCATTCGAGGCTCAGCATCAATTCGCGCGTATATCATCAGAATACCCTTCCATCGCAATCTCACCTCGTCAATTCGACTCTACAGATTCATAACAATGAGTCGTTTAGCGGGTTGGTTCCGATCCGGAACTGCGACGCCAGCTACTGAGGCCAACAGCGATGCTGGCTCAATCACCACCAAGGATACCATGGCCCGAGAGATGGAGGACATTGACGATGCCATGGCATCGTGCGGCCTCATCATGAACGACGATATCGACGGAGCATGGGAGAAGCTGCAGACCGGAGACTCGTCCTTTCACCAGCTAGGATTGGCAGTCACCATCTTCATGCGCTCTGTGCTGGGCTTTGAAAAAGCCGTCATGACCGAGACCACCGCCAAGCTCGATGAGTGTGAAGCGAAGGCTTGGGCGGACTACAAAAAGGCTCAGAAGCATGGCAAGGCTCGTGCGGGGAGTAAATTGTATCCTCCCGGTACAGAATTTGAGCTCGTTCGTGCGGAAACGCAGCTCATGGGCGCCGTGGTGGGTGTTTTGCATGAGAGTCTCATTGACGCGATGAAGAGTTTTCTTAAGCTTCGCAAGGCGTTCATGACGCTTGATGCGATCATTGAGGCCGAGGCGAAAACACTCAAGAATATGCCTCAGTCCACTTCAGAGGCATCGCTGTCTGCTAAACCTGTTACTGAATTAAACAAGAGTATGGAGAGGCTTGAGATTGAATCGGCTTCTGGCACACAGACTCCTGCGAACGGAGACTCTTCAAGCTCGTCAACCACCGAAGATGAGAAGATCGATGAAGGTGCACCTCTGCGCGAAGCTCGATCGAAGCCGACAGACTCAGAGTCCGACTCTGTTCTTCTTGAAAATCCCCTCGACATCTTTGTCCACTCTGGGGCCAACATGTGTTTTGGTATGATTCTTCTCATGTTGACCCTGGTTCCTCCCGCTTTCACTCGTCTTCTTTCCGTGGTCGGGTTCCGTGGTGATCGTGAGCGTGGCGTTCGCATGCTCTGGCGCTCCACTGCCTACGCCAACGTCAACGGCGCCATCGCTGGCCTTGTCCTGCTGTCTTACTACAACGCCCTCCTCGGCGCAGTCGACATCCTCCCTGATGCAAAGGATTTTGACGAGGGTGCTGAGATTGTCGGACCTCCACGGGAAAAATGCGAGAAGCTCCTCGCATCGATGCGCTCTCGGTACCCCGACTCGCGACTCTGGATCATCGAAGAGGCGCGTCTGCACAGCAATGAGAGGGACCTCCCCAAAGCCGTTGAAGTTCTCACCACCGGCGGCGAGTCAAAGATGAAGCAGGTCACGGCACTCAACAACTTTGAGCTCTCGCTCAATTCAATGGCCATTCAGGACTGGCCTCTTATGCGCGACTCCTTCATGCGATGTCTCGAGCTTAACGACTGGAGTCACGCACTGTACTACTACATGGCAGGCATCGCATCCGTCGAACTCTACCGCGACGCCGTAGCCGCGGGTGACAAGGATGAGGCGCGCCGTCAAAAAGTCAAAGCGGAAGAATACCTGCGCAAGGCGCCAGGCGTAGCAGGCAAGAAGCGCTTCATGGCGCGCCAGCTACCGTTCGAGGTGTTTGTTCAGCGCAAGATACAGAAGTGGGAGGATCGCGCTAAGAGCTTTGGCGTCGATCTCGCTGATGCGATTGGGCCCAGTCCCGCGTTGGAGATGAGTTACATGTGGAACACCATCAAGCGCATGGGCCCTGCTGAGCTGGAGAAAGCAGTTGGGGGAATGAGTTGGGACAGATGTACGGCCAAGACGGAGGTCGTGGATAAGATCAAGGCTGAGGTTGATGAGATGGGGGCTTGGGCACTCATCAGCGCCTCGTTATTCCGCAACCAGAAGAAGTTTGTCGAGGCGAGGGAATTGTTGGAGACGCATGTCTTGAAGTTTGACCGGTAAGTTCAAGTTCAATATTTCACATTGTATCACGTCGACTAACATAGGCAGATTTGCATTCAAGGGCCCGACAAAAGATGACTACGTTCTCGCGGCAGCTGTTTACGAAAAAGGTGCCATTGCATGGTCAGAGTGCTGCAACCCTCCCGAGGGCACACCAGATGAGAATGCGGCATACAGAAGAGAAAAGTACGACGAGTGTGTGAAGCAAATGGATGTCGCCAAGGTCTGGGAGGCCTTTGTGCTGGACACTCGAATTGGCATGAGAGTACAGAGCGCCATTGAGACGCTCAGCTGGTTTGCGAAAAAGATGGGATATAAATAGATGGAACAAGCAATGGGACGGATGGGAGTTTGTACACTTAGATGGCTGCACGTTATTTGCTGGGAAACGACTTTAATGTCAATTGAAGAATGGACCTCATTCAATTGCCGGCGCGTTTTGATCTCAGTCGCGAACTCCTCCTCTTACCGCCATCATCTCCATTCGTCAATTTGTCAATCCCTCCCTGAAGAGCACTCACACCGCTATCCAACTTATTCGCCGACCTCTCCTTGACGTTATGTTTCTCCGCCTCAGCCCTCACATCATCGAGTACATCCCTCCCCCTTCCCGTATCATTCGCCCAGTCCAAAACTCCCCAGGCACCGAAATTGCAATCGCCTCCGCTGGCGTAATGAATGGCTCTGCGACGCGTCATTCCACCCATGATAATGCCAGGGACGACACTGTACCCTGACGTGGTGACTGTCTCTTCAACCGTGCAGAGCGCAAGGAAGAGGAAGTACGTTACCATGTGAGGGCGCAGGGCGATGGCGGGTATGTACATTGGGACGAAATGATGCAGAAGAAAGGGGACGGGGTGATCTGCAAATACGAGAAGACTGTACGGCGCTGCTGATCGCGTGTGACTGAAGCGTCTGTGAAGCTTGCCAATTGCGCCGCGGGAGTGAAGAAGATTGCGATGAACGTAATAAGTCAACACCTCACGCCCCGTCATCATAAGCACCAAATGCTTCGCCAACTGCCACGGCAGAGGCAGCAACGCCGTTGGATTAAAATCATTCTCACCGACGAGATACACACACGCCAAATGCGACGCGCCCTCCAGCAACGTCACGCACAAGAGGTTCACCAGCACGAGACCCAGCTGTCGCGTAAGCAAGCGCGCATTTCGCGGGGCAAGCGAAGCACGGCCGCCAAATTTGATGGACTCGGCGATGCTTGGCACGCCTGTATCAAAGAGTAAGGACACAAGCGAGGGGAAGAGAAAGAGGATTATGCGCGTTGCGAGGGAGCCGATGAGGCGCACGCGGAAGGGCGTATGTGTTAGGACGAAGGTGGTCCACTGGACGTAGAAGAAGAAGATGTTGAAGGATGTGGACCATGATGCTGAGGCGGGGGAAAGGAGGTACGATATTATTGGGAGGGAGAGAAGAACGTCCATTGTTACTTTGTTAGTGATGGGTCTTGTGTTGTGGCGCAGATGTAGAGTTAAATGCCACAAGATTTGTTGCTTAATTTTTGGGGGGTTATTTTTATTTTAGTGAACGGGTGAGGATTGTTTCATTGGCATGACGTCGCGTCGTGGTTTTTATCCTGGAAGCTGGGGAGATTTGGGATGAAGATCTGGGGCTGGGGAGATGACGTCGATGTGGCTAATGTATGCAGTCAGCCACAAACTTGATTGATGCAGACAATGAAGAGAACAGCCTAAAATGCAATGATCTCGATGGTATTGCCTGCTTACGGAGTACAGCGTCTGCGAATATCGAGGAATCTCATTTTTAGACCGGTCAAACCTTTCAAGTTGGAGCCACGGCAATTGAGACGATGCTTGCTAGACCAGACACAGGTACCGTACCAACAGATGCAAGGGAGATAAATAAGCACCAGGGCCAGAAGATAATGGCCATGGTTCCATGCTTGGCAATAAAAACAAACCAATATCAACAATAATCTCTCCCTCTCTCTTCCTGGTAATTATACAGTCAATTATACTCCGTGATATGTCACTCATCGCAGCCTAGCACATTGGACGAAATGAAATTGGTCTACTCTAACCCAGACAGCTCCAGTCTAAAACGAACATCCGCTGTGGAGCTGTGGAGTTTCCAATTAATTGACCCGTCGCAGATCACAGAACCTGCAGCCAACTACTGTACTCAGCAAGACTTGTAGATTTCTTTGTGGCTAACAAGTCAAAGTTTAAATGTGAAACTGGCGTTCTAGATGGAGTTATTGGAATGGTACCAAGATGAAATGCTATATTCATTGTCAGATTGGTGCACGGTCTAGGCTAACGGGAATGGAATAAGCTCCAGGGGAAAGGTTAACTAACTTTCAGGGGTCCAGAGAGTGGACTCAGGGGTGCATTGTATTGTCTGTCACTGAAGAGAGGTCGAGCGAGTGAGTGCGAGAGAGAGGCACAGCGATAAACAAAACAGACCGAATGAGATCTGAAAGTGTTTCCTTCTGTCTTGTTTTTCTTGGTTTGACTAGAGATTTGTCACTCTGGGTCATGCGCATTTCCCATCGGGTCCAACGCTCCCGAGTTGGCGATAGCGCCCGTGGCACGTAAAGAGAACGTTCAGCCCCTCGAGGCATGGCATTTTGAAACCATTCCTCCCCCAGAATCTCGACTTGTCTCTTTTCCCATCTCATTCATTTATTCTCGACTATATTACGTAGAGTCTAAAAACATAAACAAATTCAGCTGCGATATGAGTCTTGGGCTCTAAGTCTGATTGATTGGCTCCACGCTCCCTGTCTTAGCTTATTGTATTGCCCCCTTGCTTAGCCTTGTCCCCTCGCCCATTTTGTCTTTTCGCTTCTCCTCGTCAACCAACTTCCATTTGCGCAACCACCAAATTATTACCCAACACAATCTATCCTTGACGGTTGCTGATCTCTCTGCCTTTGCTGTCTTTTTTTCCTCTTGCTCTGGCTGGCTTCTTTTCCTTCTTTCTCCCTTCCACGCGACAAATCGGAAGATAACCCCACTTGGCTCAATCTAATATTCCTAGTACAGCCACCCCGATCCACCATCACCACTTCCACCGACCGAGCTAATATCCTCAGAGAGGGAATCATCCCTCGTCGTGACACTTTTCTTTACTCATCCCTTATTCCAAGGGTGAGAAAGCCGCGCCACTCTTTGTCTGCGCGAGACACTATCGTCGACCCGCGAGACACAGCATCGCGAACCGACTTGCCTCCCTTGACATCCATCCACTTCTTTTTCGTGACTCGACCTAGAGTCCGTCGCCCTAGCCATGGATTTTGACTCGGCTGATGTTCCCCCTATCCCTACGCGCGCCCGCGGTCACCACGCTCATTCTCGACGACGTTCTCTCCAAGGACCCTCCTCGGCAAAGCGCAACTCTGGTCTTCCTCCCGCCAGCCCGGAAGTCATCTCCAACCTCATCACCAGCCTCAGCGTCATCTCGAGGCCTGCGACGAACCATTTCGAAACATCGCCGACCAGTCTGTCACTACCCGCGAGTCCCGGGAACGGTAGCTTTGGTGTGGACTACGGAGCGTTTCATCAGCCTAGCCTCGACGACCTGAGACAAGACCCCGTGTCACTCGACGAACTCGCCGCGTTACCTCCTGTCATACGCACCTCGAAACCCCCCAGCGGTTATTCACCTTTGACAGCCACAAAGAGCCCTAGAAGTCCGAGAAGTCCAAGCCGCGAAGGTTCCGGTGGCCTGCGATCATTTATCCGTAATAGTACATCCCGACCCTCGTCAAAAGGATCTTCAGCTGCGTCCAAGCACGATGATGCCCAGAGTATAGGGAACCTTTCGATCGAACGTCGCGGTGCCTCGACCCCCGAACTAAACCATAAACAATCACACGACAGCTGGGGTAGGAAGACATCAACAAGGAGTCAAAAGGGCCTCATGTACATGAGTTCCAAGGAGCGTCTGCGGGAGAAGGAAGCCGAGAGGAAGCGGGTTTCAGGCGGAGTCTCGGCTTCGTCGTCTGGTGCTCTCCCCGGCGAAAGTGTTCACAGCGGTGGGCGCAGTGATCCGTTCTTTGCTGAGACTGCCATCCGTGAAGAGTCACATTACGAGCTGCCAATTGAACGCCCGATGGATGCACCTTGCGCTATCCCCGCGCGGAATTCGAGTCTTGCAAAGACGGGTCCGCAGAAGAGATCGAGCGCGAGGAGGTCAAGACGGGAGGACGGTACGACGAATGATGTGATTCCAGAAGGCGAGGAACATAGAACTCGAGATCGGGAGTCAAGTCGAAGGAAACAGAGTCATCCTGGCCATGTTCAATCGAGATCATCCACCCGATCACCAGTTTATGGCCTCAAGGACGCATCTCCGTCAAAGAGTACCAGCGTAGCGGGCAGAAGTTTCCTCGATGTTAATGATGGCTTCAGCGACGAAGAAGATGAGGGCGCCCCGTTTCCTGCCGTGGCTCAAGGTCGAAAGCGGGATCAGAGCAATGACCGCAATGATCGGAGACGATCTGGTCGACAGAGCCCGGCACCAAATGAGGCTATCAAGGTGAAGCGCAGCAGTTCCCGACTGAAGCGTTTGTCTGCACCGCTGAATCACAAGGTCGACGAACGAGCCCGCGATTCACCCAGTCCCCAACCAGTGCAGAATCATGCACCTGCTGGTTACGAGCGTCCTCAATCCGCCGACTCTGTCGATGATGCTGTCGAGTCTTATTTATGCTCACCGCGTTTATCGCAGAAGATTCGACACCCTCAAACAGGCCGCGTTATATCCTTCTCAGAAGTCGGTGACTCTGAAGGTTCTGCCGTCTTTTGCTGCGTTGGGATGGGATTGACGAGATACATCACCGCCTTTTATGATGAGCTGGCATTGACGTTGAAGCTGCGGCTTATTACCCCAGATCGACCGGGTGTTGGCGATAGCGAGCCTTATTCTGATGGCACTGCTACGCCGCTGAGTTGGCCAGGTAAATTGATGTTCCCTCGATTGACAAGTTCGCGCTAACCGTCGCAGATGATGTTTATGCTATTTGCCAGACCCTCAAGATCACCAAGTTCTCTATCCTCGCTCACTCGGCCGGTGCCATTTATGCACTTGCTACAGCCCTTCGAATGCCTCAACATATCCGCGGTCGAATACACCTCCTCGCGCCCTGGATCCCTCCCTCCCAAATGAACGTCTTCGGTACCTCACAAACCCTCCCTCCAACCAACGCTATCCCCACCTCGCAACGAATTCTCAGAGCCTTACCAACGCCCATCCTCAAGGCTGCAAATAGTAGCTTCATGACGGCCACGAGTAGCTCAATCACTAGTTCATTACCCAAAACACCACGACGAGGAA